TTTAAAATATTATTTTATAAAAACTTTAAAATAATCCTTAATATATATAAGTTTATATATATATTATATAAAGGATTTTAAAGGGAAAATTAATTAAACTATTTTTACTTAATTTAATAAAATCCTTTATTAGTAGTAGTAATATATTAGTATAAATAATAATTAATATAAAAGGTATTAAAGGAGTTACTAAAAGGGTTATAGGTACTTAAATACTTATTTTAATACTTATTAACTATAAAGGTGTTTATATAATATTTATTCATATACTTTTAAGTTTTATACTTAAAATTTTATATTAATTTCCTTTATATATAAAAGAAAAATTAAAAACTTTAATATTAAAATAAAAGTAATATTATAAGTGTAATATATTATAAGAAAGTTTATAATATATATTATTATTATAATTTAATATTATAAACTAATATAAAATTATTAAAAGATAATTATAAAATATATTATAGTTAAATAAATAGACTAAATTTACTTTAATTAGTTATAAATAATAAATTATACTTTTAATAATATAATAAAATATACTTTTAATAATATAATAGTTTTAAAAATTAATAAAGTTTTATTTTATAAATAATTATAGTTTATATTATTTATATAATTACTATAATTACCTTTATACCTTATAAAATATAAGGTATTTAGGGATATTAGCTAATAAATTAAATAGTTATATAATAAATATTATTAAAATAACTATTATAATATAGTAATTAAGTTCTATATAATAAAATTATTAAGTCTTTAATTATAGCTTATAACCTAAAAGTTATAAGTTAAAATAATATTTTAAAAAAAATTAATTAAACTTTTATAGCTTCTTTTTTACTTTATAGTTATTTAAATAGAATAATTATAATATTATTATAATTAAAATAAGTTTCTCTTTTTTTTAATAAACTTTAAAAGTATATTAAATTATAATTCTATAATAATATTATTTTAAGTATTAACCTCTAATTAAGTTATAGTTAAAATAACTTATTAATAACCCTAAAAAGATTTAAACTTATATAGAATATAGTGTTTAGGTCGCTTAGGTGTGGATGGTAGGGTATGCTTACGAAAGTGAGGTTATAAGGTGTGAATCATAGGGTGTGCTCCCGAACGGGTTAGACAAATAGCTCCCAGGGCCCCGAAGGGGCTTCCCACCTGGTTTATTTACAAGGGAATAGCGGGCCTGGTGCCTGACATCAATTGACTCGAGGGCTCGTGGTTGGCTGGCCTCCCGAGGTCCCACCTGGCCTCACTGGTGCATCCCGGGGTTGATAGTGAGCCATAAATGCTTATATGGCGACTTGACCGAGCGAGGGTTCCCAACCTGGATCAACGAGCGGCAACACAGCCAGGCTCGCGATTACTTCTCGTCGATCCGAGACTAGATCACATCGGGCTGGGAGAGAATCGAAACGCGTGCTTCAAGTTGTCTCGCTTAACAGCATGGGAACAAGTGTATGGCCATGGAGGAACGGCTTCCGGTGTCCAAAAGGGAGCAATCATGTCCATATCCGTGACTTTCCTTCTCTTATACCTGGTAGCATGTAAATGATGGATCCAATGTACTCATGGAGGCCAGCGTGACAAAAGGAAACAGAAGCAACTACGATGGCCTAATACCTAGGTATGTTTGAGTTGTGACTAAAGTTTTGGTGCTATGCCTGGCTAATCTCGAGGTCTGGCTCTGGTGAAGAAGGAAAGAGACTAGGGACCGTCGCAGTCCGATTGACTGTTGGCAAGTGGTTGCCATTCGGAATCAATTCGGAATGAACATTTGGGCTGGAGACCGGGCGTGCTGCGGAAGACTCCTCGCTCTGCGGCAACAAGATGGGCGACGGCTGCGACCTTCGGACGAAGCGCGCCCGAAGGCAGAGTCACCATTCCCGCGGTACGATGCCGGAGATTACATCGCACTGGCGGGTTTTGCTTTCCGTGCGAACATGATCAAAAAGATTTTCAGTGACTTCGGTTGGAAATATTCTCGAATAAGAAACTTTGCAGTTCTCTCAGATCACTAAGTATTATTGTCTAACATAAATTACCTGGGTACATAATACATTTCCTTGGCCCCAGCATTGGTCAGAAGTATCAGAATAGGCGGGGTACGAAAATAATAGTGTTCATCAGAAGTTGGCAAGACACTCCTTGATGCGAGTTTTCCAACTTCCACGCAGCAAGTCGTGCTTCGCTTATTCAGGAGGCGACCACACGAAGGCTTCCTAAGTCCACATCGAAAACATATTCAGCCCACCTAGGCACGCCATGCATCATGGCTCACATGACGTGCTCTTCAAAGATTATCCCGATAGAAAATACCCGGCACTGGCTGCAAAAAAGGCTCGGATACCTTGAAGAGATTAGCCCCGGCAACAAGTCCCCAATGCGGTCCTGACAAACCTCCGCTCACCTTAAAATGCCCGGCAATTGCACTTTCTAGAAACCTTAGACCCCAGACTCAAATACACCCCCTGAACGGCATTGGGTTAAGACTTCGCGAAATGAGACTCCTGGGCAGGCTGCAAACTGCAAGTCATGCACAGCAGACACCCCGACCTTTCCTCGACCAGGATCAACGATGTTCATATACGAGAACGAGAACTACCCTTCAGCTGAATGCCTAGGTACTCGACTTCGTATTGAGCTTTGAAAGGTGGAATATCAAACCCAACGCTTATATTGTTTTTGATAACTTGAGTTATTCGGACGCGAGCCGTATTGAAAACAATGTTATTTCCCGTAGTCAATTGCCCATGATGCTACCGTCTTCTTGTATAATATGGATGTCTTGCCACCTCCTTGTCACCGATATCCACTCGGAACCACGAGTCAGAGGATCGACACCCACCGCGCGAAAATCAACATATCCTCCGGACCGTTACGGGGCACACTGGGATCGAATAAACATGTCCCTGGGCTTATGGATCAGAAAGTTCAATTCCGCCCTGTCGTTTCAAGTCACTGACAGAAGCGTGGGGCCGCCAAGTCGGAGATAGATGCTATGCTTGCAGCCGCTCAGACCGCACCTCTACGCGAGCGGCATTCGAACAGTCTCTTTAGAAGGGGAAGATTCTTCCTATAACCCTCCCTCCTGCGGTTCTGCCGCTGCTTCCGATCATACAGCTGGTCTGATGTTTCGCTCGTTTGTCACTCCGCGTGCCAGGTAGTATCATCACCATGGGCGTCAACTTTCCTCTTGAGCGGGCTGAGCAAATAACTGTATTTGCAGTTGCCGTGGCATTTGCTGTGCTATCTGTGGCCGTGGTTGCTCTTCGGCTACTCAGCCGTCAAAAGCTGGGGCGATGGTTGGACGCCAGCGATTACTTGATGATTGCTTCATGTGTAAGCCACAAAATGCTCAGGCAATAGTACGCCCAGACCAAGATATTTGTTCTCTGACGTTCAGCAGGCAGCAACCGTTGGTCTCTCGGTGGTTATTGTCCTCGGTGGGCTCCTCCCAGGATGTTCAAAACGCGCCAGGCAGAGCACTGATATTCCGCATTCCAGCTACACTATACGCAGGCTTAGGCTTCCATGTCTCAGAGATAATAGAAAGGTTCGGTCTCCAAAGTGGACCAGAAACATTTTTGATTGTAAGTTGTACCATACGTTTCCAGGTCGCATCTTTAATACTTTGCCTGGGCAACCAATACTCACTGAGTATGAACTTAGCATCTAGTAGCAGCTCGCATAATGGCCACCTTGAGCCTCGCTCTAAGCAAACTCTCCATCCTCGCTTTGTGCTGCAGAGTCTTCACAGTCAGATGGTTCCGTACAGCAGCATATTGGACAATGGCTCTTATTGTGCTATGGTGAGTCATATACATGGCACCGATGGCAGCCACAGCACCTGATAAATCAAATTCAATAGGACCATTGGAAACCTTTGCATCATATTCCTCGTTTGCCAGCCCCTATCATTTACCTGGGATAAAAATCAAAATGGTAAAGACATGCTACTCTTGTTCGGCCCCCGAGCAAACATACTTATGTTTTACAACGCGCCTCCGGCCAATACGACTTCAGTTGGTTGGAGTAGCGCAGAACATGATGGGGATTGGCCTCCTTGTTGCAATGTACTTTGTGCCCTCAGCTAACCTTGGAACCTTTTCTCTCAAGGTCATTGCGGCCCAAGTACAGAGCTTTGGATTGCAGCTGGATCTTTGAACATTGTCACCGATTTCATTGTTCTCGTCCTGCCCATGCCTTACCTCGTAAAATTGGAGATGGAGATATACAAAAAGGTCACTTTGATGATAACTTTCGGTATGCACTCCCTTCCCCAACACCCGATTCGCTAGGAAGATGGCTAATACATTCCAGGTCTTGGGCTGGTGTAAGTTGAAAGCAGTCGCCTTCGGGATCAATCAGCCTCTGACTCGTTTCTAGGGTCTGCATCATCAGCGCAGTCAAAGTCGCCCTGTTACCCTCTGTCGACACCAGCGATATCACGTTTTCGATTCAACATGCGATGATCCTGACTGTTCTTGAAGCATCACTCGCTATAATTCTTGCTTGTATCCCGGTTCTGCGTCCCCTATTCAGGAGTGCAATCTCTACGCTTCGAACAAAGAGCGCCCTGGGCATCTACGGCACTACGACGAACCGGAAGAGCCAGAAGCCGAAAGGATTTTCAGTAATCGAGGAACAGCCACTGTCTCCAGAAGCTCCTCAGCCCATGCCAAAGCGACCCAATGTCGCTTATTTCAGCGCCGAAGCCGCGAGAGCTAGTTGCGGCGACCACAGAGGAATTGGAAATGGTAGGAATGGGAAGGACGGGGAGGAATTGGAAATGGGAGTTATCACAGTTACCACGGAATTCGTTGCAAGGTATAGCCATGTCAGTTCTCTGCCATAGTATATGGATCATCGGGCATGATTGTGTGAGGAGTTTTGGAAGGACAGGCGGGGATATATTGTACTTCAACAAATCGTTGGGATTGGTCGGCCCATTCATTGCGTCTGAGGCAAGAGAGCTCCATTCGAGGCTACGATGTGACGAGTAATGGCTTCAGTATCTTATGGTTCTTCAAATCATCCAGTGCCAATGCCAGGTCCTCCAGTTTGTAACGCGACAGCAACTGGTCAAAAGGAAATTGTCCGGATCTCCAAAGCTTGATCAGATGAGGTATGAAAGTTTGAGACACGGAGTCGCCTTGATGTGTTCCTCGGTAGGTCAACCCCTTGACGAGCATTTCGGTCACATACAGTGATGCCCGCGTAGGCCCACCACCGACAGAGACCACCGTTCCTCGTTTCTTGGCAGCAACACAACCTTCTGCAACAAGCACGCCGTTTCCAGCACAGTCGAGAGCATAATCAACACCCTCATTATCAGTGATTGCCTTTATCTGCGCAGCGACTGACCCTCGTTCCAACCCCAGCGAGCATATGGTATGAGTAGCAAGTCCCGGAGGTATCAAGCCGAGCTTCTCTTCTGAAATGTCCACGATGATGATCCGAGAAGCTGAACATAGTCGGGCTGCCAGAGCTGCGGCCAGACCAACCGCTCCCGCGCCAAACACCGCGAAAGCAGCACCTGGTGAGGGTTTGCAGACGTTGAGCACCGCGCCGGCTCCAGTCTGAATCCCACAACTGAGGGAAGCGAAGAGTTTCAGTTCTTCGTCCGTAGCATCCACCTTCACTGCGCTGGTCTCCCTGGCAAGGGCAAACTGGCCCATAGAGCTCTGGCCGAAGAAGAAGCAGTTCAGTTGCTGGCCATCCGCCGTCGTGGCGATCCGACCGGAGCCGTCATCTTCGCGTAGGCCTCCAAAGTTCAGCTGCTCCATTTTCTCGCAGTAAGGATCACCGTCTGCGTTACACGCGTCGCAAGACCTGCAGCTGCTGTAGTGCAGAACGACTTTGTCCCCTCTTTTGAATGCCGTAACCTTTGCTCCGACCTCCTCCACAATTCCGGCACCTTCATGGCCAAGTATCATGGGCGGCTTCATGAAGAAAGCGCCCTCTACTGCTTTGACATCCGAAGCGCATAATGAAGTTGCAACCATCTGGACGAGGATTTCGTGGTCGCCTATCCGGTCGTAGTGTATAGTTTCAAGCTTTATTGGCCCGCCCGGCGAGCGGACAATGTAAGATTGGCTAGTCAGAGACATTATCACGGTTAACAATTGATTAGGATGACCACCAGGTGAAAAGAGATAGAGAGAAACTTTTATGAAGCAACCAATTGAGCAAGCTCTGGCTTTGGGGGCGTTTTTATCTGGAATTGCGTTGGCCGACAGTGCGGAGAAACCCGATCGGTTGACACTTTTGGGGAGAACCGGCTATTGTGTCGGCTTTGCAAGATGGCACAAACCCGCAGGTCTGGCGACATGATGAAAAGACGCTGACAATGAGGACATAGAGGCACGGCTTTTGGCTACTTGACACATCTTCCGTTGCCCAATGGGCAAGTACACCTCTATAGCAGAAGAAACCGAAGAGTAGGAATTATCTTTGTTTCATTGACGTCTTCATAACATGTCCCTAATATAAATAAAATCTAGAGGAAAGCTTTCTCAGTCAGTCGCTGAACGCGGAAAACAGAATGCGTTGTATCATCCGTTCATAATTAATCTCCACCGCCCTTCACAACCAGCTTACTCTTCTCCGCCGCCGTTGTAGCCACCTGCGAAATGCTCGACGCGTTAGTCATGTCGAAAACCGAAACATCCGCCTTGAGCTCCTTCGCTATCCACGACCGCAGCTCAACTGCCACCAGCGAGTCGACTCCGTATGCATGCAGCGGCTTCCCTGAATCCAAGTTGGATACGTCGACGCTCAGCACGCGGGATAGTTTGAGGAGGAGCGCCTCTAGAGCCACCTTCTCGGCCTCCTCTAGCGACCCGGCAGCCGAAAGAAGCGCCATGTGGTTGACAGCCTTCTTCGTGTCGGCCGTGCCGCCATCTACGGTCGTGGTAGAGGAACTTGACACGGCGAGGTGGCTGAACAAGGGGTCGAGCCTCCAGGTCGGCAGCTCGTGGCCATCCGATGCGGTCTGCTGCGGGAGCCAGAACCGGGGCAGCACCTGCGCCCGGACGAGGGGTACGGCCCCGTCCACAAGTCGACAGTGGTAGTCCAGCGTGGAATGGAACTCATGCTCCTCCATGAAAGCCCAGCCCGTTGCGCGGAGGTGGTCGAGCAATCCCGGCCGCTCCTCTACGTATCCAACTCCGCGGATGATGGGAAGGTCTATTGAAACGGCATGTCCGCCCCGAGAAGCCAGGTGACGGGCAAGCGCATCTTGGAAGGTGTTTCCTGCGGCATAGTTGGCTTGTTCTGGTCCACCTGTAATGCCAACAGTTGACGAGAGCATGATGAAGAAGTCTAATTTGCCGCCCAGGACATCGTGAAGGTTCCAAGATGCGTTGGCTTTGGGACGGACAGCATCATTCCACTCGTCGAGCGTCATGTTTTCAAGTCGATTATCCTGGTTCGAGTCAGCATGCGTTCAGGCAGTGGATCCAGAAAAGACCTTACCTTGAGAACCATGGAGCCTTGTATGCACCCTCTGACGGGTGGCATCGTTTCCAAGCATTTCTCCATGGCATCCCGAAGTGCTTCGCTATCTGTCACGTCACAAGCCGGCGTTGCTATCCTGTCACAGGTTACTTCGAGCTCCTGAACGAGTTGCTTGGCGGCATCTTGAACGGGGCCACGCCTAGAAAGCAGAATCAAGTTCTTGGCTCCACGCGCAGCCAACCATCGCGCTACAGATCTTCCGAGTCCACCGAGGCCACCAGCAATCACATAAGTCGCCTCGGGCTCAAGGCGGCAATCGGGTGTGCGTCTTGACAAGACAGGAACGACGTCGTGATCGTGCGGTTCCAAGACCACTTTCTCGACTCGATGCCCAGACTGCATCTGATGGAACGCCTCCGGAAGCTGAGAGAACGCATAGTTAGAGATTGACATTCGCTGGATGGTCGACCCTGGGCCCCTTAGGAAAAGCTGCTCAGCCATTCCCTGGAAGCTACGCTGTGTCCGGACGGGATCATGTAGTGCTCGGTATCTGAGATCGTAAGTCTCGTAGCGAATGTTCTTCTTTTGGAGCTCACTCAGAGAGATGCGTGCGTTGGCATTGTTGCCACTTGGAACGAGGTCCACAAGCCGGCTGAACGAGGCGGCACAACCCACCAGCTCCGGAAGTGAATCGCTCCCAACAGTATTCAGCACAATATCAACACCACGACCTTCGGTCATCTGATAAACAAGAGTCTTGAAGGATCCAACCTGGGCAGAGAGAATGTGGTCTTGTGGAACAGCGCACCGTTTCGCAAAGAAAGAATGCGTAAGTTCACCATCAACTGTGACAAACACTTCGGCACCAGCAAGTTGAGCAAGCTGAACGGCAGCTTGGGCTAGGCTGTCTGCACCTGCGTGTACAAGTACCTTGTCTCCCTTACGGACACTGCCCATCTCGTGAAGGACGGAATAGGCCGTAGTGTAAGCGACCGGGATGGAGGCAGCCTCAGTCCATGATACACAATCAGGGAGTTTGGCCAACCAGCCGTCCGAAGACCTGACGTGTGTCTTGAGTGCACCAGTAAGTGCCAGACCGAAGACTCGATCTCCGATCTGGAATTTTGAGGCCGGCCCAGTCCTGGACACAATGCCAGATGCCTCGAGGCCCAAGGGGACGTCTCCCATTTGCCCCCTCACAGATGTTAGGTCCAGGGAGTTAATGCCGCAGACCCGAGTCTGGAACTCGACCTCATCGGCAGACAGCGGTGTGTCATGCACGGGATCATCTTCAAATCTCATGGAGTCAATCTGGCCTGGAGTACCGGGCTTTAGAATAAGAGACCGAGAAGACTCTTTGCCAAGGGTGTTCTGAACCACACCCAGAGCAGCGGTTTGAGATCGTACGTGATCCTCGAGATACTTAGCCCTCACAAGCCGTGGAACATGCGGAACACCGCCAATGATCCTGAAAGAATTCTCTGTACCGTTTGCTAAGCCACGGAGCGCCCGCACGCATTGCTCCACAATGACACCCGGGGCCTCATTTTGCTCGAACGAAAGCGTCACAAACTGGAAATCGGGTCTCTCAGACCGAGCGACTCTGGCCAGTCCAGTGACCAGTTCCATGTCAGGCGCGGGTGCAAGGGAATCTCCTGGTGGTGAGGTTAGTCCTGCTCCGGGTCCTAAAGTATTGTATTCTAGAACATTCTAAAAAATGAAAGACGGGGATTCGTAACAAGTGAGATGTGATGCTTACCACCTTTGGTCACCCATATCAGCGAACTGCATTGACTCGCCATTCGCTTGATAGACGCGAAGATGGAGGCCGTCATGTCTTGAAACAGTGAGGACTTGAGTTCTGCAAGAACCACGCAGGTCGCCCTATTCAGGTCCTTGTCACCCAAGGTCATCAAAGATGTGACATCGCAGGCCGGGCCATTGGCGCCCATAGCCTTTATTATACGTCTAGCGACGTCAACTTGCTGCGCTGACAAGCCATCGGTCACGATGTACGTTGTCCCATCGGTTTGGGTTGCTGCAGTGTCCGGAGGCACGCTTGACACAAGGATGGAACTCATCTGGTGGGCGGAACCGGGAAAGTCCTGGAAGACCGCGTCAAGCCCAGTGAAGCCGCTTTGCGAGAGGTGGTGTCGCCAGCTCTCGGTAGACATCAAAGGCCCCCATCTCCGGTCCTTGTCTTCTGATAGCCACCAGCCTGGGAGTGTACCAAAGCAGAAATGGCTAAGGAGGACCTCGATGTTGGTAATCTCAAAGAGCAGGAGCTTTCCGCCTGGCTTAAGCAACGACCTCGCGTTCGAAAGCGACACATCGATTTTCTTCGTCGCATGCAGCACGTTGGCAGCCACGATAAGGTCGTATCGGCCAGCCTCGAAGCCTTGCTCGACCGGATCATTCTCGACGTTGAGCACGCGGAAGTCCGCGCGTTCCAGCTGGTCCTTGAAAATGGTATCTTTCGCTTGCTCGAAGAACGATGGTGAAATATCGGTGAAGCAGTAGTTCTCATATCGCCTACCCTGAGCCGTCAGTGTCTCCATGACAGGCCTAGTCGCACCACCGGTGCCGGCACCGATTTCCAGAATCTGCATGGCTGGGTTCTTATGTGCCAGGGTATCAACATAGCCGCACAGCTGCTCGTAACATCTCTGTGATCCCAAGCCGTAGCGGTAGACATTCTCAGCGATCTTGTCCTTGAAAATAATATCGAGCGGGTTCAAAGGCCCTCCGATCATCTCATCTAGTGCTTGGCCCACGGCGATGATGAGAACACCTTCTGGCGTGGCTCTTGACCGGACTCTGTCCTCTAGGTCCTCGATGTTGGGCACCGTCCTGTCAGTCGTCTGGCGAGAGATGTGTTGCATCCACGAAACGTACTTCAGGTGGTGCTCTGCCATCCGGCCGATACGGTCCTCTGTAACGGAAACCAGGAATCTCCGGATATACGCCAGACACAAGGCCTCACAATCTTCCATCCAATCTGACGGATTATCATCGGCCTTCATCGGCGCGCCGAAAACCTTGGAGGCTTGTTTGTCGCTCAGGAGCGACGGGTCGGGCTTCCACTCAATATTGAATGCGTCATGAAGCGAATCGGCGGCATCTCGGGACGCTCCTCCAGGGAGCGTCTTGAAAACCAAACCAGATGCATAGACTGAAGGGAGATTCGTCTTTGGGCTGACTGCTGTAAAGGATGATTCAATCTCATTGTCCCCACGAGGAGAGGGCTGACCCGTCATCACCAGATAGGCGTCGTGGGATTCCGGGCTGGCGGATACCCAGAGACTCTCGGCGTAGACTGGCACTCTGGGTTGATCAGAGACCGCGGAGTCCGATACCAGCGGTGCAATGTTGGCATGCACAACACCATCCAGTAGTGTCGGATGGACCAAATGCGGCTGCAAGTAGTGACTCGGCATGACCTCTCGGACCTTTGACAGCGGCGAGTTGACATCTGCCAGCAGTGTGCGGTCTTGACCGAGACGGATATTGTTCAATGTCTGGAAAGTAGGTCCAAAGTCGAGTCCAGACTGCTTGAGCTTCCGATACACTTTGTCAACTGCGATGCCAGCCGTGCACGCTTGCTGAGCATCGCGAACTGCTCTCTTGCATTGATCCTGTATCAAACGCTCATTCTTGATCTCATCCTCCTCGTACTGGCTGTTTACCAGTCCGCGACAATGCTCTCTCCACTCGCCATCGTTGAAGGACCAGAGTTGAAACTCGTTCCAGGCCGAAGAGGAGGGCAAGCTGGTCTCTCGATACGGCCTCAGGTAGAAGTGGGTTTCAACGCCCTCAGCGTCGTCAGGTACACGTAATGCCAGATGGAATGAAACATCCTTGAATCTAAAGCCCTTCAAGGCTTTGCTGCCATCTGCGATTTGTCGACTGGCCTCGATGGCCATGACGAGCATTCCCGCGGCAGGGTACAGTACATCTCCAGAAACCTTGTGATCCTCGATCCAGGGATTCTCTGATAGTCGAATGTAGTTTCGCCAGGTCGCGTTACTCTTATTCCAGTCTGCTATGGGCACGCCAAGAAGATCATGGCGGCCGGTTGGCCGGTGGCGGAAGCTCTTACTCAGACGGCTCTCAAGCCAATATTCCTTCGAATGGTTGAATGGATAACTCGGTAGATCAATTAGCATCAGCGGCTTGCGACCGTCCGATCCACCGGCCTCGTTGACCTCATGTAGGTCGACCTCATAGCCTTGACAAAACAAGGACCCAGCTGCCTCCAGAGCAGTCTGAACAGCAGACGATTTGCGTTTGAGCAGGGAATGGTAATTGATTGCATCCCTGCCAGAGATTTGCTTGGAAATGTTGGCCAAGGGACCCTTAAGGGCAGCGTGCGGGCCAATCTCGAGTATGTCTGTGATGAGTGCCGAAGGAGCAGACGCCGCCCTCTTGGATCCATCGTTCTCTGGCTTGTCGACAGAGTGTTTGAGAAGCTCTGTCACGGATTCGCAGAATCGGACGGGGGAGACGAGGTTGGCGACCCAGTAGGATGGCTTTCGGAGTTCGGCCGATGAGATAGAGGATCCACGGGTCGAGGAGAAGAAAGTCGCCCTGGGCTGTTTCAGACGTGTCCCAGCTTCCAGATTCCCCATGGATTCAAGGTACTCGTCTGCAATGGCCTTCATATATTGGGAATGATAGGCTATCTCGACGTTGAGCTTCCGGGCGAAGACCTTGTCCTGGCTGAGCATCTCCACGAGCGTGTTGATCTTCCTGGCATCGCCACTGACAGTATGGCTCTGCCAACTGTTCATACAGGCGATTTCCAAGGTCCCTTGGCCACCCATCTGGTTCACGCGTTCGATTGCAGCCCAAGTGGCTCTGGTGTCCAAGCCCACTGCGGCCATGCCTGTCTGAGGCAGGGACCCGGACCGAATCAGCTTAGAGCTCAGCTTCCCCCTGAAGTGGGCGACCTTCCAGGCTGCCTCCCTCGATATCGCCCCGGCAGCATAAGCACCTGCCACCTCACCTGAAGAATGGCCAGTGATTGCATGGGGGAATATGCCCCAGCTAGCCAGAAGATCCACGAGGGCGATCTGGAGGGCGGTGCAGATTGGCTGACAGAACTCAGGATCATCCACGCGTGACGAGCCCGCCTGCTTGCAAAGCTCGACTGTGATGAGTTAGTTTAGACAAACTCTCGATGAGCAGAGAAAGTGGGCTTGTGTTCTCTTGACGTACAGGACAGCGACCAGGAACATCCCAAGTCGTTCAAGTATCTGTCAGCGGCCAGGATGCTTTCCTGGAACACCGGATATTGCATGAGCTCGACGCCCATCGCTGGCCACTGCGCGCCTTGTCCCGTGAAGACGAATGCCAAACGAGGCTGGGACTTGGCCCTTGTCGCGCTTGGCAGGTTCCTCAGCGTGTCCTGTAAAGCGCTTGGGCAGTCTGCAATTGCGAAAGCTCGCCACGCATGGTGGGTTCTCTTGGAAGCTAGCGTGTAACCGAGGTCTCTGAGTAACCGATCATCATCCGCGACCGAGTTCGTGCGAGACTTTGACGTCAAGTATCCCTCGAGGGCATCTCGCATACGGAGAACGCCTTGCTGGTCGTTGGTGGATAAGACGAGTAATTGACTGGGGGCTGCGTCGGCGTCCCCATTCACGCCCATGTCTACCCCACTGTCCGCACGACGATGGCTACCATTTGTGTGCCCTGGATTGTTTAACATCAGCGGTGCTTGGAAGGGTGGTTGTGGGGAAGGCATACCGTTTGCGTGCGGTTGGTATGGGAGGCCCTGGGATGTTCCAGGAGTGGCAATAGTCCGGTGGTCACCGACTAGCCGGTACTGCTGTAGGAAATGCAACGCATCATCCATAACTACATGGGCGTTACTGCCGCCAATGCCAAATGAATTTATCGACATGCGGCGGAGGCCGGGCTGGGGCCAGGGTGTTGCCTCAGTGGGGAACTTCAGATGCCATGAGTCTTTGATCTTGGGATTGACCTTTTCCAACCAAATGTTTGGTGGGATGATGCCCTTCTCAAGTGTGAAGACTCCTTTGATGATTGCAGCAACTCCGGCAGCACCTTCAAGGTGTCCCACATTGCTCTTCAAAGCGCCCACATAGAGTGGCTCATCTGGCGACCGGTGCGGCGCGAAGATCTCGGCGATCGCACTGGCTTCGATAGGATCGCCTACTTGTGTCCCCGTGCCGTGTGCCTCAAAGAACCGTGTAACAGAGGGGTCGAGTCCGGCTCTCTCATATACATGCTTGATTAGAGCAGCCTGGCCAGCTTTGGTTGGCTGTGTGATGCCGGGGGACTTGCCGTCCTGGTTCGTTGAGGAATTCCGGATGACGGCACGGATAACGTCGCCATCACGGATTGCATCAGAGACGCGTTTCAGCACCAGAGTGCCGAACCCCTCACCGCGAGCATATCCGTTACCTCTGTGGTCGAAGCTGTAAGACTTCCCATCAGGCCCGAGGACGCCGGCGGCGTCCAGCTTCAGGGTCATCTCGGGCGAGAGCATGAGATTGCAGCCCCCAACAACGGCCTGCAGTGGTTTAGCACATATCACAAAAGCCCTTGGTGGGTATCTCCTCGGCCACGGGCTCACTTACCATATTGATCTCACGGAGCTTCAGGCTCATGCACGCCTCGTGGGCTGCTACCAGACTACTTGAGCAGGCCGTATCGACGGTGATACTCGGGCCACGAAAGTCAAAGAACCATGACACCCTGTTGCTGAGCATGCTCGCGACGGTGCCGGTGGCGGCGTACTTGGAGGGGAGGTCCAAGTCCTTCACTATTATATCATTATAATCATATGCAAAACAACCGACGTAGACGCCGGTTTGGGACCCCGCGGCCTTGGGGATAGGAATGCCAGCTGAATGTTGTTAGGATCACACAAATAGCAACGAGTTGTCAGGCGACGAACCATTCTCGAGTGCCTTGTATACAGATTCCAGCATCCCTCTCTGCTGGGGATCCATCCCATTGGCCTCAGCGGGCGTGATAGAGAAGAAGGGCGCATCGAAGGCCGCAATACTGCCCGTGAGAAAATGTGCATGTCTTGCTCGGGTCTGTGACGTGCTGGCATATTAACACTAGTGACAAGGCCAAGCGCCACGGAAGGGAACTCACCGAGCCGCTCCTCTCGGCGTCAGGGTGCCAGAACGAGTCGACGGCGAACCTCTCCTTGGGGATCTCAGACCTGGCCGACCTCCCTGCCAGCAGCGACTGGTAGAAGCCCTCGGCCGTGTCGCCGTCACCGGGCAGCCTGGCGTCCACGCCGATGATAGCGATGGGCTCATCCATGGTCGATACGCCTTGGTCACTAGAGTATCCGAAGCACGTTGAAGTCTATCGGGTGGATGTGGCGATACGAGGGATGCGGAGGATGCCGTGGCTGATGGACAATTTGTAGAGGAGGGATGGGTGATGATGTATGAGGTCTCTCAAGGGCTTCGCACGAGCACCTGGTCGTCGGCGTCCAGGGCCCCATCAGCCCACCCCGTTCGCTCTCGTGGAGCAGTGCCCCATCGTGCATCAGTGTCGGCGACGGGCTGGCGAGTCCTGGGTAGGCCGTCGGAGTCCTAATCACGCGCCTCACTTGTCCTGTATGTAGGAGGGCGGAGACACCACAGTCTGGCCGTGGCCGCAGACACAGTACACTATACCGCGACTCGATGGAGCGCCGGAGAGCGTCTGGCTCAGGGCCAATGGCAGGACCGCAATGGGTCTGTTGGTGCTTGTGCTTCCAACAGATTGGGACCGAAGCCCACAGGACCCTCCATATTGCAGTAGGTGGTAACGCTATTGAAAGTGTCTGTCGAGCCGATCAGTCGAGCCGATCAGTCGAGCCGATCAATGACTCTGGGCCAGCCTGGAGAGGTTGGAAATCCAGGCGAGGTTTTGCAGGTTGGCCTCGTTGGCCTCGTTGGCCTTGTTGGCTGCATGAGGTGCGCATGACGACCACCGATGTACTGCAGTGTACTGCATGTGGTTCGGTATCGGTCCGCGGTTTCCGTGTCATGTAATAAGCGACCCTGGGACTGGGGCAACCCGTTTTGCCCGTCTACTACTAGTAATACTATGTAGTACTATGTAGTGTAGTGTGGCTCGGTACGTACCGGTACGCCCGTTGGCCCGGACTGCTGGACGCGTGGCTGTTTTGATTTGCGCTTGCGCTTCGGCTGGGGCCAGCTCAGGGGGGAAAGGGTACACTGCACTACTGTCGTACTACTCCGTAAGTGCAAACCGACCTGTCAGTTTGTGAGGGTGGACGTCTTGGATTGGATTCGGGACCAGTTTCAGTGGGTGAACAAGGTGGACTGACGTCAAAGCCATGCTGGGAGTGGGGTGGTGGGGCCGCAAACCCACGTGTCGAGGTCCAACAATATGTCCAGGGCAGCTGGGGACATCTGGGACCCCCCCCCTAAACATTTGAAGGTGGAGCAGGCGGGGCGCCCTCTCCCCTTTCCCAAGCCAATCGGGTCGTGCGGCCTGGTCCGGGCTCGTGTCGTCAGCAACTCTGTCCAGACTTAAGTTCTCACTGCAGGACAAAAGTACGGAGTGCCGAGTCTTGGTATGTAGGCAGGTACTTAAAGGTGTACTATACTTTCTCCCGTGTGGCTGGGCCGTGGACAAGTACACTGCATACGCCACATGCATTGCATATGAGCGGCTGGGCATCACCTGACGCGGGCGTGAACTTGCATGGAACCTTTCTGCGTCAGTCAGTGATAGATAATAGGGTTCCATTTCGCAATATTGCGGCCACCGCAGTACTATGCATTGCGCATAACTGCCGGAAGCTTGCGGTTCTCCTCTTCGGGACAAACAACCGACTGCAGGCCGACCTGAGGCGGCCTTGACCACCCGGATCCTGCTACCGACTTGCACGCTTGCCAAAGAAACCCGGCCCTGGCACACATGGACTACACAGTAGTAGCACTATGATAGACCCGCCCGAAGGTGGGGACCGGTGTGCCAGTGTGCCAGTGTGCCTGAAGGTCGGGCTGGGCCGTCATGGGCTGGCTGGCACGACTGCGAGCGTAACTACACCCAGGTAGCCCAGCCAGCCACGGTCCATCGAATCCGAGGCGGCCGATGTGTCACCCAAGCACACTCCCGCCATGGCCCGGGGCCTGACAGCCACAAAGTCCCGCACACTGCCAGGCTCCCTGCCAGGCTCCTGCTATTACCTGTTACCTATTGCCTATCACCTCATTACCAGGTGGCCGGTTGGCCTGGTGTGGCTTGCAGGCCCGGCCAGGGCGGCCAGGGTGGCAGTGTACACAGTAGTCCAGCGTCCAGTACTCCGTGCTCCGTACTATGGGACGCCTGGACGCGTGGGCGGTAATGGCCGGGGAGCCGGGGGTGTGTGTTAGTTTTGGATTGCCTTGCCCTCCGAAATGAGGCCTGGCCCAGGTCCTGGGTTTTGGGGACCCTGGAATCTCTCGAGGTACTCCGTACTCCGTGCTCCGTACGAGATCCCAAACAATCGAGGCCCGTCCAGCCATCCTGCCGGTGGTTTAAAAACCAAGGAGTACCCAGACTCAGGATGGCCTCGACTATGAGTCCTGTCCCCGATCCCGAGTTCTCAGACCCGACTTAGAGTTTCACGACCCATCAGCCTCTCGGAGCGGCCCGTCGGCCCATGGATTTGAACAAGACTCGCGGCCGTCCAACAAGCGGCAGCGAGGCCAACTCTTCATCGACAAATATGGGACGGCCCTCGACCAACGCCTCCAGCACAAGCAGGAATTCCACCTCGCTCAAGTCGCCCCTCACCGCTACTTCGTCCTCCAACCGGACCTACCCCCACAGCGGCACTGTCGACGATGGCGAGCCGGCCCTGTCCAATGACAATGATATCTGGTCGCGGTCCGACTCTGACGATTCCAACGACGACGCAGAGTCCGCTCCTGCAGCCTCGGAACGGTGAGCCTCGTGCCCCCAGGCCCCTTCACCCCCTATTACGCGCGAGTGGCGCCGCCGCCTGCGTGCCTGATCTCTGGGGGCCAACTGCCGAGTCATGTCAATGCGCCTGTGCTGCAAAATGAAGGCTGACTGGGCCCAATCAGCTCCAGTGCCAAAGGAAGTGGGTCGCGCGCAACAGGATTCTTCCGCTCCCTCGTCCACAGGATCAGCAAGTCCGTCTACAAGCGTCAGTCTCCCGACCCCGTCACCCCTCCCGGGTCTGCATCGATGCAGCAAGATGTGGCTGACTGACTGACTGACCGACTCCTCTCCGCAGGCTACGGCTTCATCCCAAATAACCAGGTGCGACTGTTTGTTCCGACCAGGAAAAGAAAACCCTCGCAACACATGCCGGATTTAGTGGCTGACTTTAAGGTTTGGAACTAGCAAGAACAAGACAGAAACGGTATGCATTCCCGGAAGCATCCCTATTACACCCTATTACACCTCATTAAATCAGAACCGCCACTGACCAACCCATCGCCAAATAGTGCTGCAGCATGAGATAATAAAAGAACTTTTTGACGGAAGATTCCATCTTGCCCCGGCAAGACGGCCAAAAACCGTCCTGGACATTGGCACCGGTCCTGGCATATGGGCTCTAGTACGTCTGGCCACCCACCTTTCCCCCCTTCTGATCTGTCGCATAACGCTAACCAGTTGCAGGAATTTGGCATGTCTCTCTCTGCGCAGACCACCCACCCTGTGTCTCTGGCAGTCTGGCTAACAATGTGACGCAGCCCAGCAAAACCCTCGGAGCTCAGTCTTGGGCATCGATCTCGAGCCGGTCAAGCCACCATATTTAGTGTCAAATTGCCATTTCCAGATAAGAGACGCCACTGAGGACTGGGACCTGAACACGACTTTTGATTTTGTGCACGCCCGCATGCTGGGTGACCTCCCACAAAAGGAACGCCTCGTGCAGGCCGTATACGACAACCTCAACCCGGGAGGATGGGCTGAATTTACCGAGTGGATCGTCTTGCTTCAGTCGCCCAATCACTCCTTTGAAAACACATCTTTCCACAAATGGAACAAGCTCATGTCCCGAGGAAAGTTACTGCCCCAGGCCATCCTTAGCTTTGCTAATTCTGACTCTACAGGCCTCAAAGATCTTGGTAGTTCTTTGTACTATCCGACCCAGTACAAGCCGCTTCTTGAGAAACACGGGTTCGAGAACATCACGGTGACCAAATATGGCGCCCCCACCAATGCCTGCTACCCAGGCAAGAAATTACAAAAGATCGGGACCATGATGACCAAAAACTGGACCAGCATCATTGAGCCGCTCACCCTTTCGGTCTTCATAGACGGGCTGGGCTGGTCAGCAGAGGATGTGAAGAAGTTTCTGATGAACGTGAAGAGGGAGATCCCAGACACCAGATACCACTCCTTTATGACATTGTGAGCGCCTCGCGATGCACGTTGGAAGCGACCACGGCTTGCTAACCCAACACGTCCTAGAATGACAGTCTATTGCAGGAAACCGCGCATCGGCTCAGCTTCTACATCGGTCTCCTCGTTCCAGAGCACGCCTGTTCCGGAACATGCGACGAGGCGGTCCAACGACCAATTGACCCACATAGCCGAGGGTTCGGAGCCGTCTTCGGCATGATTTCTTGTTTACTTTTGAGATACCCCTCAATTTTATGAATACACATCACATCGCCTGAGCATCCGTCGTCAAGAACTGGCCAATGACTCGAGTGGATCTGTCCCTTGCATACCAAGAGCCAATGCCAGGGTGGGGTGGGGGGAGCCATGTCAACGTCGAACCGTAGAGCCCCAGGCGGCTCCATCTACGTGCATAGTGCGGGCACGTCCCTGGTGTGCTGACCTGCGAGCTCTGCGAGCTCTGCCGGAGGGGAGGAGCTGCGATTATGCCGGATATGCAAACTGTATGTATGGATGCACAGTGCGGAAACCTTACCCACTTTCTAATGCAAGGCGGACACTAGGCCGATGCGCACCAACTGACCAGTGAAGACGAGACACGATGGATGCTAATGGAGAATGGGACCAACATGAGAACCAACATGAGAACCAACCTGAAAATAATAGTCATAATAAGAGCCATTATAGGACCAAGATAACATCTCCCTGGGAGCCAGAAACGATTTTCGCCTTTGCGTTGCCGACTGCCAACTTCCTTGAATTCATGCGCCACTTCAAACGAGACAGGCCCACGGACAAGAACTCCCACACCCTGAGATATTGCCAAGCCTGTTGGCAGTAATCCCAGTCCGTCACCAACAGCAACAGCGACACAACCTACTCACTCTGCTGCAAGTCCTCGCCCGGCTCCCACACAATGGCTGACTACGAAACCAACGCCCTGTTCCGCACAGGCAAGGATGCCAACGCCACGGTGTACACCCGCTCCGCCCTGTCCGTCTGGTATGACACCTACGTCCTTGGTTTCAACATGCGCTGCATCTGGGGTTGCCCAACCCCGTCGATCCTGCTGCCCTTCTTCGCCGAGAACTTTTCCCGGCGCCACCTCGACATCGGCGTCGCGACGGGGTACCTGCCCGCCGCCGCGCTGAGCAAGATCTGGCGCAAGGACAGCAGTCACCAGATCACGCTCATGGACCTCAACCCAAACCCGCTGAGGGCCGCCAGGGCGAGAATCATGTCGATGGCCCCGAGGGCCGAGGTCGACCTGGTCGAGGCGGACGCCACCGAGCCGCCAACCAACGAGCTCGCGTCCCGCAGGTACGACTCCATCTCCATGTTCAACCTGTTCCACTGCATGCCCGGTGGGAGGGACAAGTTCAGGGCCATCGGCGCGATGGCGAAGCTCGTGAGCGACGGCGGCGTGCTGTATGGGTGTACCGTCCTGGGGATCAGGCAAACGAAATGGTACCAGTTTCTGACGCGGTTCTACCTGAAATGGTATAACCACTGGTGGGGGATCTTCCGCAACTGGGACGATACCAAAGAGGACGTGGATGCGGCCCTGAGCGAGCACTTTGAGAATGTCGAGACGTGGGTGGTCGGCCAGACGCTGTTGTTCAGGGCGACTGGACCGCGCAGAGGGGAGTCATCCGCAGTGCTGATTGATTTGCCGTAGCCGAATACCACACAGGGAAATCGAATGAAAAGAAATTTAACTTGGCTACAAATGCATCCAAAACTTGCGCGTTTGCAGGTGCACATGTGCAGAACATGATCGCCCATCAGTTTTTTGGCCCAAGTGACCACCTAGGATATTTCATGAAGTATTAACCTCGATTACCGAGAAGGCCCTATCGCCTCAGACTTCGTAGAGTCATTGCCAGTGTTCGGTATCTTCTCAGGCTCTTCCCAGCGACAAGTGGTAGCTCCCAGGATGACCTCCAGGTGTACAGGTGGCTTGGAGGACGCTCGAACGAACCATCGATACACTGCTCAGGGACTTGTAAGAGGCCTTGGCGTGCCCGTCACACTTAGTTACAGAAAGACTGACTGCGCAAAAAGACCGAGCCACGAGACAAAGCAAAAAGACTTTAGAATTGATTCCCCCCCCCCTTTTGTTTTCTCTCAAGCCACTTATATCCCATGGAAGCTTAAATGGCCCTATCCAAGTGTGATGTATGGGGCTTTATCAAGTCGTGCTCGAGACTACGGATATTGAAGCCTCAGGCGTAGGAACGCCGTCAAAACGGTGCCCCTTAGCCTTGTCTGTGTGTCGCAAGGCTAAGGCCACAAGCGCGAACCCATCGTATTTTAACCATAGTTATCAACACTGTATCTTTTTCAAGCGCTGGGTCTTGAGCGTTTACCACCATATGAAGGCGCCATATATGTCCTCGGACGTATACGGAATAGAAGCGAAACCACGCAAACTCCTCTAAGGAAAAGCTGGGCCCCATAGCGAAATGATGTATCTCTAGCTGTGGCAATACTCTAGAGCATGCATTAGTGCCTTCAATGTTGTATTGTTAGGTCAGACTATAACTGCTACCTCTCGCTTCCAAGGGGACAACGTCAGCAAGCTCAGGATAGTGCTAGTATCTCCATTAGCTTCAGAAACATACTTGAGATGGACAAAGTGCAAGCGCGAGTAATGAGTCCCGTTTGGCGCCAATGCCGTAACTACTGTAGTGGAAGCCGATGGGGTCTGCCAACCGTAGCCAATAAAAGATACAGTAACATACGGACTAACTGTAAGATCTGGCCTAACCGTAAGATCTTCCCCTTATAGTATTTTGCTACGGGATTGATTCTGGCCGTTAGAGAATGCTTTTCTCTCTAGATCGTCTATACTATCTACTCTTCTCTCTCTCTCTCTCTTAATTCAAGGTAAGAAGATTACTTAGGTACTGAGTCCTGGCCCTTCCGAGTCCTGGCCCTTCTGAGTCTTGGCCCTTCCGAGTCCTGGCCCTTCCGCTAAGTATATATATGGCCCTTCTCTATTAAGAAGGGAAGGAAGGTATATCTGGCTGGCTTTATAGAGGCTAGCTAATAAGAATCCCTTATTAAAGTGTAAGACTAGATCTAACTGTAAGACATTCTATTATGGTATCTTTTTTGCTAAGGGTTACCAGTCCCCATGGTGATCTAGTACAGTAGTTTCGCTTCTATTCCGAATACGTCTGAGGATATACATGGCGCCTTCACACGAGCGGTGCCGATGCCGTAAAGACCAGGATAAGACTCGGATGATGCCGAGCGGTCCACGACTCATTGCTGCCCGACAATTTGCTTTGAAGAATATACAGCCACACAAGAATAGGATGAGCCTTATTCTACAAATCCATCACCATGATAACACGTTCTGTAGCAGCCTTGTTTCAATACCTAGGTAGCTTTCAGTTTTATGTATCCAAGTAACCATTTGTATCATACCATACATGTGATCTTGCAGGTCATCCAATCATGTATGATACCAATGCTTCCTCATCCCTAAAGTATTTTAAATGCTAGAAAACCGAGACGTGATCACCGCTTTCGCCCGAAAATAGTCCCAAACACCTCACTCTTCTGTCTTCTTAGGGCCGGCACGGCATGCGGTCCATCGTTCTCCTTGTCCTCAAGCCCGGTTTCCTCGTTGGCCGGCGGCGACTGCCCCTCTGTCGCAGAAGTGACTGTATCGGCACGTGCCCTCCTCAGCTGCTTCTCGGCAATGTCGCTGCCCTTGCGAGAGCGCGGCGCGGCCGACGCGCTGCGAGACCGCTTGTGCGGCGTCAGATTCTTGACGATCCTCCTTGCGAAGTTGGCGGCGCTGTCGGCGTCCGAGTCCGAGTCCGAGTCGAAATCAAAGACCGACACGGGCAGCACCGTCTGTTGTGTCTGCGGCGTTGTAGGCCGTGAGTTTCCGGTCGGGTTACGCGGCGCTTGTGCAGCGCCGTTGGTAGGCGATGGTGTTATCCTTAGATTTGAGGGTACCTCATTCGCAGAAATGGACTGTCGCAGCTGCGAGTGAGTTCTTTGGTGTGTTTTTCGGCCACGAGGCACATCTTGAGTCTGGGCTGGTACGGCGAGTTGCGTTGGTGGTGCCTGTGAAATGATGTCTGAGGGCGGGCAGTGGACGATTTTGATATCTGAGTGGGCCCTTGAAAGACTAAAATTTCTCTGAGAGGGAAGGGTCTGTTGACTTCGCCTGGAAAAGGCAACAGCAGTGGGCGATGCTATCAGAAAGGTCGGGGTGCCGGGGGCTGACTGCGTCAATGACGAGCTGTCATAGCGGATGGCTCCATCTGAGGCTGGAAGATGAAGCTTCCTAGGTTTCTTGCGTCTGTTGGGGAGAGGCAACGAGACTGTTGGAGCGAGCTGTTTCAGCGTGTCACGGGGAATTTCATTCCTTCCAGTTTGACCACCGCCTGGCCGCCTAAGTAGTAGACCATGTTGCGGTGCTGCGGTCGGCGGCGGAAACAGAGAGTAGATGGCTTTGGATGGTTTCGGTGTCGGCGCGACGCAGGGATCAGCAGCTACCAGAGGCCAGCATGGCTTTGAATCATTCTCGACGTTATCTACGCTCCTGTGTGGAGCATGCCGACCAGTTTCCGGTGGCAGCGTCCTGCCGCCTTCCTGTTGGGAAGCTGTGGAGTGCGTGGTCGGGCCGATGAGGATTGTGTTGCTTCTCTCTCCAGATTCAATGCCCCAGAAGGCCTCCGAGTCCTCCCAGAACGAATCGAAAGTCTCGTCACATACAATATGAGACTGGTTGGTGTCCTCTGCCGAGATGTCTGACTCCTGGTCATCGACCATCTCAGGCACCGAGCATTCTGAGCCGACCGAAGAGCGACCAGTAAGTGGGTTCTCGCAACGATGTGTTGTAATCGAATCGTGCCTCGGATATGAATAGTTGGATACAGATGGGTAGTATTTGTTGACGAGCTTGAGGTCGGCCAGCCTAGTGGGTTTCTCCATCACGACCGGGGTTCGAGTAAGAAATGGACCATAAAAGATCCAAAGTTGATCAGGCGCCGGCACAGCTGCGGAAGCTTTTCGTAAGGTGAGATGGTACTAGATCCTCGACCGATTCAGGGGACGGGGCAGAGACGGACTCATGACGAAGCTCGAGACCCAGTCAAGGGGGCCGACGAAGGCTTCAAAATGGCAGGATCGGCCATATATGTAATTGATAGCAGCAGACGCTGCTTCGTTGCGCTCATGGGCATCGAAAGGCACATGCCGTGAGAGAAAACAACAACACGGTGTGAGGAATGGAGCAGCCAGGAATGCCAGGAGAAGTACTGTGACCTTGACCACAGCTGGTCTCCCCAGCCAAGGGGACGTACCGAGATCACACGCCCACAACTCCCCTCCATTCCGGTTTACACGTCGGAATAGTAGAAGGGAGGGGAGGAGGTGTCTCGGTTTCGGAATGCAGCAAGGCAGACCTCGTCCCGCGTATGGTGTGCACACAAACGACCGAGGACAGAAGGAAGCAAAGCCGAGAGTAGAAAAAACCCCCAAGCATGCTTGCCCGACATCCTTACTCGGCCAAGTACGTCAGAGGTGCATGAGAGTCAGGAGTTCCGCCAGCGGGAGCCTTTGCGACCCCCTGCGGATTTTTTTATTCTTTTCCTTCCTTTTCCCGATATGTCATTCTGAAGTGGTTGCATGAAACGCAAAGTTGGTGAGACTGATCCGGAAAGCACGGACGACCCTGAGGAAGAAGCAAGTGAGTGCCAGAGCAGAGAGGCTCAATCAGTTTGCAATAGTGACGAATTGACAGTGTAGCATAAAAGTGGCATGCAGAACAGCAGTCAAAAGTTGACAGAAGCTCTGATCGCCTCAACCTTGGATCTGATAGCTCTGATGCAGTAAAACAGAAAGACTACCCGTGTACAACGAGGGCCTGCCGGATGCCAGACAGACACATCAAACGGGTTAAACCACCCCATTTCTCTCACTTCTTCGCGCCCAACCTGTCACGCGAGCTCAACAGCCAAAGTCTAGGCTGTCAGACCCCCGACAGAAAGCGGCACCAGCAGAACCCTGGGCCAGAAGACTCTCCCTTTGAGGAGTCGATCAGTCTATCCAACTGTGTTCGGATGCTGATCTCGGTCGAGGGAGTCTCCCCGTCTGAGCTCCACCGAGCACCGAGACATCGAACCATCCATCAGTTGGGTGACAGCCCTGCTCAACGGCGAGATCGCGCTTGTTGGAGCGCACTTACGGGGCTGATGCGCAAAACCACCTGGCATGGTAGCGTCGATCTCCCGCTCGCGTATCGGGACTTCAACTCTGCTCAGTCGAAGACTGTCTGCAATACCACCTATTTAGTCAAACAAAACGTATAGCGCGCGCCTTGCAGTTCTCGACTTCCCTTTGAAACCCATTCTAACCAAAGTTACAAGTGGAACGGCAAACCTGGTGGCCCCAACAGCCATGAGGCTGACGCTGCCTCCTCAGCTGAGCTTCAACTGTCACCTATCAAACTTGAACGCGCGATTCAGCTGATGATGCACCGTTTGAACAGGCCAGGCAGAGTGTCATCCGACGCTCTCGGCGGCTTCGTGCCTTGGGCCAGGCACGGCGAGGCACAGGAGGCGGAGTCTGGAAGGGTGAAGGGGAGCGAAAGAGACGGTCCAGGCCCAACAAAGACAGAAGACAGATCCCGGGGGGACTTGGCCAGCCACAGAGACAGGGTTCACATCCGAAAGGCGGATGGCATTTGCATCGCGCTACGCCACGCCACGCCGCGTATGATATGCCTTGCAGAGAATGACATGCTGCTCCGCCCTTTCCCCGGACGGGGAACACAAGCCGATTGGATATGGGCCTGCACCCACATGTAGACAGCAAGTATGGGAAGTGCCTACATAATAATCGCGAGAAAGACGGCACAAGCCTGGAAGATCTTAGAGTCTGAAGATGACATGTCTTCGCTGTCTCGTTTGGTTTCGGTTGACGTAAACTTTTGTTGGCACACGCTGGGCCATGATGCCGACTCAGGTTCTGACAGACTGGTACGGGCATGAAGGGGCAAGTGCATGCAGAGGGGCTGGCCTGCATTAATCCATTGTCCATGATCGATACTCCGGTGCCTGCAGCCGCAGCCCCTTTATTGCTCACGCGGGGAGCCAGGAGGACAAGCCGGATCTTGCAGGCTGTGTCCTGCGAGGTGGTCCCCTCGTTTCCGAAAAGGCAGGCTGCATCCTCCGTGATGAATGTGCTGTATCTTGCATGTTCTACCCAGCGGATAGTGACAGAATCGATTATGCCAAGTTGACCATGCCACGCGAGCGGCCCAGGTTTGCCGGACTTGCAGCCTGGTGTTTGCTTGTGAGACGTCAATGTGCGCCACCGTTTACACGACGACAGGTCTGACAAGTGATGGTCTGTTAGAAGACATGATGGCAAAGGCTGCCTTAGTCGTGCATTCGACCATGCCTCGCCTTGAAAACTCCTCACCTGCACGCACTGTTGCGCTTATGCAAGGGCCATTTCGATGACAGATAGACGAATGTAGGTGGTCAGTCCGCGGTGTTCGATGACCAGGGAAGTCCTACGCGATCTGCAGATCGCCTGGGAGCTACTGCAGACCACCTCAGTCCCGCCATGCTTCCCGGCTCAGCATCAATAGACCGAGTCTTCCCTGCAGCCCCAGCCGCGTGGCCGCAGTTTGCCAAGAAGACTCAAAAGCGAGATTTATCTGATGCCCCGTGTGAGGAGAACTCGGATGGCTCAGCAGCAGGGAAATGTATACAAGCACGGCGGCATCTAGGCTACATGCAGCAACGTTGTTGAAAGGGAGCCAGAGGGAACTTGGTCTACTCCCGATGTTGCGTCAGAATGGCTTGTTGAATGCCATGCTGGAAGATTTGCGAGGCCATCTTGCTCCCAGGGGACAGGATGCGGTATTCAGATCATCCCAAGTGGTGACGAAAAGCTCTGAAAGGTCTCGCCGGTGCCTGTTCTTCCACAGCCAGCAACGCCAGCCGGCGGGGGTGTGACAGCGTTTTGCCGGAATGATTCCGACTGCGGGCAATTAGGGCTAAGTCAACTTTCCAGCCACGAATTCCTATCCACAGTTGCGAATCTTGTTGACATTGATTTCGTTTCCAGGAGACACTGACGAATGCACCACCTCGGCAGGCTCGGTGACGGCGTGGTGGTTTTTGAAGCTCTTGTCAGGAATCTTCCATTGCGCCTCGTCGGACAGGCTTACTGCCTGTGTGTTGTTGTTCCCAGTCTGGATTCAATGTGTCGATGTGAGCAGCACAGGGCCCTGGGCGGATATATGGCTATTATTATTACGGCTTTATCGAGCCCTCCACTTTATTATGTCCGCTTTTCCCGCAGAGTCTACCAATCGAGCAAGTCGATCAGAGTTGCCTGAAATCTATGTCTCGTCCCAATTCTGTCCCAAGGTCTTATGAAGCCCCAAAGTCGCTCGTATCGTACGTAATTCTTCGTCACATAAAATCGTTGTCCGAGTTTTAAATCAAATGCAAACCGCGAACGCCGTGCCATGCAAGTAAACTCACCCTCCAGGTCTGCAGGCGCAGAAGAAAGACATCTCCGGACCTATCCATCCGACGACCGTCTAACTGTTGCCAGCAAAAACGTACTGCGGGCTGATGCGGACATCTCTCTCTGCTCTCCTCGCCTCTCTCCTACTGCTGCTCAGTGTGCCCGTGCCTAAACTCGGCGCCCCGGTGCCCCGAGGGCTCATCAGCCTCGCGCTTTCTCCTCTGGACGCACCACCGCGCGGCTCCGTATACTTGCGCACCTTCCGAACACTGAGCCTATCATCTCTCGCGCCCGCGCCGCCGACGCTGAACACCCATCGCGGCTTCACATCGTCTCTCCTGTCCACGCCAAGCTTTCCCACCAGCGTAGTCTTATTCCTGATCATGCCCTGGAAGACCTCATCGCTCATCAAGTCATCGTTCGCAACGAAACTGATGATTTCAGCGAGGCAGGTAGCCTTGTGAGGAAGGCGAAATTGCTTCCTCCTCGGGTACAGTATCACTAAAGCGAGCCAGTAGAGCACGAGGAGGGCTAATGTGAGTGCGAATAGCGGGATCTGAGGAAACACGCGCACGATGTTATCCTCTGGTGTGAGGGCGATGAACATACCTCCCGCGAAGATCGGGAGAAAAACGAAGAGCGTTGAAAAAAGCGATATGTAGGCGAGCCGCCAGTGCCCGTTTCGCAAAGCATGCCATGCGCCCTGGAAGGGGTAACAGCACGCATAATCCGCGAGGATAGACGCCTCCGGAAGGGCTCCCCCGCCGGGCGGTTTGCTCAGTTCGCCCCAGGGCTGGAGAATCCGAAGGCTTAGGTCGATGTCTTGGAAGACCATGAATAGAACCAGCCCCAGAAGTGCTGGAATAAAACTGTACAGAAAGTCTGCTGCTGAAAACGCGCCTTTGATGGGCGCCGCTGAGAGGCGAGGAAGGAAACCATTGGTGATCCTGGTGCTTGGTATGAAGGAAACCACAAAGACAGCGAGAACAATCACCAGGCCAAGGCCGATGAGGCATATGAGCGTGATGTCCATCAAACATAGTGGCATGTATCGGTATCGGACTGTCGGCAAGTCCGGCGAGGCATATTGGATGCCATCCCACAAGAAGCTTCGCCTCTGAGCTTTTCGTTCCGCAGGTGTGAGCTTCTCGTGGTTCTGGGCCATGCCCTTCTCTTCAAAGGTTTCTCTGAAAAGTGCAGGCGAGCCCCATGCATCCTGGTAGCTGCCAGATCCCAAGGCATACCACAAGTCGTGGTGCTTGCTGTGGTCTGCCGAGGTCCAGTAGGCAAGCAGGTCAAATCTCCTGTCTTGCAAGACATGCCTCATGTCATCTCTAGAACCCATAGTCTCCGTGCCCTTGTACTCTGCCAAGGTGTCACTTTGAGAGACGATGGCGATGACGTCCGCAATCGATCTCGGATCCCACATCACTCCAGTTTTCCCCTTCAACCAACGGCTGAGCTCAATGACAATTGCCACAGCTAGCAGTATGTACAAAGCCACCAGCGTCCAGGCAACACCTTGAACTGTAGCCCATCGCCAGTGGCCGTCCACATAAATGACGGTGAACAAGCAGCTCTGAAGCGGGAGAGTGATATTCATGACCCAGGTGATGAACATCGGCACCCGTACATCCCATGTGCCCACCAGTTGTGGGCGGAGGAAAGACGTGGGGTAGAGCTCGTCAAAGATGGCATCTTGGCGCCCCTTTTTCTCAGCTGAAGCTAACCTCGCAAAAGGGCGTATGCGCATCATAGTCGTGGCGATAGCCTGAGCGTAAAAAAGGATGCCGGCGCCTAATATCGCCGGGAACACACGGAACAAGAAGTATTGGCCGCTGTAAATCGAACCAGAGTACTGCCAAAGTCCGGCCGAACGCGCCGAGTAGATTGCGCAGAATCCCAGTGCCCCGATCATCGCGATGCACAGGATCAACAAGGTGATAATGGATGCCGGTCGCAGACTGTTCGGTTTGAAGACCAATTTTGGGTTGATCCTCTCTCGCCCGTCTGTCATGAGCTCTGGCTCGATCGGTCGCCATGCCTCCGGTGATGACTGGGCCGGCAGAGCTGTCACATTTGTATTGTTGCCTCTCACCAAAGTCGACAATGAGGAGCGCTGGGAAGCTGGCGTGAGTTCAGGAGCTGGTTGAAGAAGTGGTGCGCTCTGTTCTTCATTGTGTCCTGTCAGATTTCGCGAGCGAGAAGAGGCTGGCTGCGGCGTGAAGGGGGGGTTTTGGTGCTGGTAGTAGCCGAGGCCGCGGTCGGGGACAGGTCGTTGGCCCTCTGAGATGACAGACGACGGGCTCGACTGTCCTTGTTGCTCCCGGGTCATGGCCTCCAAGGCATACTGTATATAAGGTGTGTCATCAACGCCGGGAGTGACACGGGCGGCCTCGAGGGCCAATTGGTCGCGAAAGACCTCAGCGGGCCTGCCGGCGATGGGAACAACAGGAACTGAGCGGCGACGTTGTGCCTCGGCAATCACGCGCAGCTGTTCTGGGGTGTACTGCGGCTGAGGCCAAGCCTGTGAGGGCTGTCCGGTTTGGTTTGCCATTGCGTGTGGCACCAGAGGAGGTCCGTAGAGCCGCTCAGGGCCGTATATCTCGGACGAAGAGTGTGAGAGCGCGGACGATGACGAGCTCAAGGCGTGAGGTGTGAGCGATGGCTGAGGTGACAGAGATGCTTGTTTGAGTGAAGCATGTTCTGCACCGTCTATTGGACCATGACAGGCAGAGATGGCAGGCAGTGTGGCCGAGGTGGAAGTTGTTGCTGCAGTGAGATATCGGCGGGTGGCGGCTTGGAAGGCTGTCGAGCAAACGAGTGTGAGTCAAGTTGGACGATGTGGAATAAAGGGAGTTTGGTCGGGCGGTAGGAAGGCGAGGAGGACAATGTTGAAGACAGGCACTCACGGGGTGGCTCCACGTAGTCGAAGTTCAGGTTCTGAAAGTTCATGCTTGGCGGGTTGCAGATGTCATGACGGGGCGTTTGGGGCGTTTGGTTCACGAGTGGGTGTGGGTGCGCGTGCGCGTGCGGATGGGTGGTGGCAACCAGGACGGCAGGACGGGGCAGGGCAGTAAACACGAGGCATCCACTTGGAGGCAATGACGGGCCAATTGCTGGCGGGAGATGCAATGCAGGTTAGGAGGGCTGCATGATGTGTGATGCAGTTGGTGACATGTGGTTGGCGACAGCTCGGTGCTGCTGGCAGCCTGGCAGCCAGGAGGTGAGGTGGACGTGAGGTGGTCCACGCCCAACCATGCCGGACCCTGTCGCTGTGATGCCAGCTGCGATGCCACCGACATGACGGCGAGGGTCTCCGGGAAGGAGGCTGGGCTGGCTGGATGAGAGAGGGGCGGATGCGATATCAGAATGCCCGGTGGTTGGGATTGTGGGGTGACAGGGGCTGAGAGGGCAACACCAGCCACCCGAATGCAGCCCTGGCTTCCTATTATGTAGTACGTACCTAGGACCTGTGTAGCAACCAGCACTTGAGGCCAAAAACGCAGGTGCCCGCGCCGGACGACGACCTCCCTAACTCACGATGCTACCCTCTCCTGCCATCTTCACGGCCATGGGCAGAGTCGGTTCCTGGGCTAATTCAGACAACCCCGTGGGGCACGGCCCAGGTGAATTGAGGTGACCTGAGGTGACTTCATCAAGCTTGGAGCTTGGAGCTCGAGCTTGGAGCTGGATTCGGAGAAGTCCACGCTAGCCTACTAGCCTCCATCGGCTGTACGGGCACCATGTGGGGCCGCCGCAGAACGAACCGCCGTTCTGCCGTTCTGCGCCGTTCTGCCGTTCTGCGCCGTTCTGCAAGGGTCCAGGGCTGCCGGCCAGGCACCACCGCAGAAAAGTTATCGTTTGCTGTACAATTCTGTGTGTGGACCAAAAGGCCAGAACTTGAAGTCTGCTTGATAGGAAATGTGGCCTCAGAGTCGTCCATCAATGATAGCATCCTCAACACGTCACTTGCGCTGGAACCAACAAGACAAGTGACACATCTTCGGGAAGATCGTGGTTGGTTAGAAGTCTCCGGCACAGTCCCTGCGATGTGATGTCTTTTATATTGGCCATCCAAATAGACTGTGCTGACCTCGCGATGCAACGTCAAGCTCACCTTGCTGTCCAAGGTTGCCGACCAACCGACCTGGAGATGAGCTTGCCTGTTGTGGCTTCTTCATCTGGGTCGCAGAGCACCCGGCGACACAAACAGTCTTCTTCTGTATTTCAGATTCTCACTCCCAGCACTAGAGCATCACAATATCTGTCGACGTTTCGAAATCGAATTGCTCGCGGAGCCTGTCCGGCATTTTTCTCATCGTGCTGTGGGGCAGACCTCCTCGTCTAGACTGTCAAGCATGGCATCACCGATTGAAGAACTACAATCACGCTTGAATTCGTCTGGAATGCTGAGGCATATCATTGATCCGGGCTGTCTATTGGAAACAGAAGTTGTACCTAGGTAATCAGGTGATCAAATAAGACCGCCCTATGGTGGGTTGGGTGAAAGTCGTGTTGTACAGGAATAAGACTATTGTTCGAGTTTTGTTTTTTTTGGTTTTCTTTTGTGAGGGGAACAGGGCTTCTTTTCTTCAATTTGAGCTTCAGAAGGCAAATGGATGCTATCACAACTTAGCAATGTGGGTTGCGTTTATTTGATACTTGCTCCCATTCAGTAATGACCGGGCCAAGGTCATGCAGTACGCTATTGTTGGTAAAGGCCTTTCCTTATCAGAACCTTGGATCCATTCGACCGTCTTATTATATAGCGTGCATGTAGCTTTCAAAAAACTGTTTTTGGTCATGGTAGCAGATAGAGTGAAGATACCTAGGTATGCGGGTGTGACTAGAGAACGCGTCTCAAGGGCCGGGCTTTTCATGATGTTGCTAAGTTTGATGGTTTTTGATGAATTTTGGAATTGATGAGTTTCGAAACACCATGGTTCAATCACGCGCGATTCATCTATTAGTGATTAAAATTAGAACATTTTGACGTCGTCGCCGCCTGACTTATTAGGGCCGTGAGCACTGGTGCCTTTCCATGCCATTGCCATCCTTGGCATTCAAGCAGCGATTGACCCGGCAACCCTTCTAACCTGCTGGTTTAATCTTGCGGGCTGTGTCTGCCTCGTTCAGGTGTGCATTCCTGCAACATTCGGCTTAGGAAACAAACATCATGCACCCGAAGGCCATTGCAGTTGATCACATGGGCATGCTCTAACAAAAGCGTTGGTGTTGAACAGTTGAAACGGACCGGAACCAAAAGCCATGTCGAGTCCAGGTCACAGACTTCGAAACTATGAGAACAGTCTCCATGCAGGTGATAACGACCCATTGGGACATTCGTAAAGACCCTCGGATGTGTGCAATTGCAAGATCCTGTGGTAAGTTGGGATGAATAATTCGCATTGTTGGCATTGCTCGGCCTACGGAACCCGCTTGACTCGGTTAATTTCGGAAGTTGAGTTACCTTTCACGATTTGACAGAATGACACACGACGTCTAGAAGTGAAGTGGCTTATTACAACAAGCTCATGCGGCTCTGCAGATCAAACGCTGTGAGCTGCGGCACGTTTCCCGTTGTAGAAGAGATAGACTACTCAAGTACGGCTAATAAAAACTCCGACTGCCGAATAACGCTCTTTTGGGAATTGCTCGAGTCAGCCGTCTAGTAAATGGACTTATGGCTGAGGGTCTTGGCCGTTTCAGCCCTTTTGAGGACCCAAGCAAACAACCTGTCAAACTTTCAGGCAACGTCTTTCGCATGGATCGGCACTAAACACCAACCGTTGATGACCGCGGGTAAGAGGCACATACCAAGCGCGCCCGGCAGCCAGAAGCAGCGCGTTCCAGACATCTGGACCTTGCCGTGAGCAGGATCCTGGTTTGTTTCGTGATCCTCCGCCTATGTTTCTACTATGCAGATCACTTGGTGCTCAAAAACTGCATTTCGACTAATGTTTAAAAGTGGTTTTCTAAGAAAAGAATTTTGTCTCAAGGCCGTCTCTCCACGATGCCCAGTGCTTCCTACGAGTACTCAGTGGTTTCGCTTCTATTCCGTATACGTCCGCGAATATCTTTAATGAAGAAGTCCATATTTAAAGCATATGGGTTTTCAGCAGGCCCAAGGTTACACGTTAAACATTGGCCTTGGCACTTCAGCCTTAAAACACACCAGTTGACATGATTGCACCCGGGTAAGCAGCTCAGCCGCAACACATCTAGTAGTTCAGATGAACCATGTGGTCATGCACTCAAAACTGCGAAGTGCGCGCGGACCTCCCTTCAGAAAAGGATGAGTTCGGACGCTGCATGCAATTACAGATGACGCCGAGATTCTGGGACAATTTATGATCCTCGTCTACTGCGATTGGCCTCCCAGGACGCCCGTCAAGGTATTGAAACCTCCACATGCATGTTTACTGCGTCTAACGAACCTATCGCGAGCAAACTTGGCAAAACAAAGACTCCACAGTATGGTAATGTCTTCCTATTGGCGGCCCTTAGCGTGGGCGGTCGAATATACTTCAGGAACTCTGTTTGATTGTTGTCTTCTAAGATTAGACGACATTGTCGAAGAGACAGTAAAAGCCTAGGGCCAAAATGATTTCCAGACACTCTCAAGATAACAATTGATCAGAAATCAACTATAAAGACCAGCCGTCAACCCACTCTGAACATTGAAAGTTGCTTCATCAGACCATCATCATCACACAACTCCAATCTCCTCCTCAAACTTGATTCACAGCATCTCTAGCTCTTTACTACTTTCGCTGCCTTCAAAATGGTTGCTTTCAAGATTTCTCATATCCTGGCCCTGGCCTCCGCCGCAGCCGCAGCTCCTACTGAGCTCCTGGGTGCCCGCGCAACGGTTGCTCACGACTCCATTGCCCCCGTTGAGGAGCGGATTAAAACTGGAGACCTCGGCAACGTAATGAAGACATTCAGTCCTCTACTCCATATTGCCCATGGCTGCCAACCTTGTACGTGAAACCCCCACTACTTAGCGGCCCTTTTATTCCCAATTTCGTTTGACCATACAGACCACCGCTTCGAGTATTGAATCATAACTAACATACCTAATGGTAGACCCCGCCGTTGCGGACAATGGTGACACCAGCGGCGGTCTTCAAGACACTGGCACTAGCACTGGTGGCTGCAAGGACGTAAGTAGCTTCTGGATACAATCTTTACCTCTTCTTCAAGGACAAAATATGCCCCATCTTTGGCCTGGTATCAAAGACCTCCACGGTCTGCGGGTTTAATACAGGTTATGGCCACCTAGTGGCCTGCCTCTCACATGTACACCAAAATTTCCTTTTTTAATTCTTTGATGGCTAACTCCGAATGCTTCAGACCAACAAGGGTCAAACCTACGCTCGAGCTGGCACTGTTGATGGAAAGCCCGTGGTAATGTACGCCTGGTACATGCCCAAAGACCAGCCTCTTGATGGTGATACTGCTGGTGGTCATCGCCGTAAGCATTAACTTCCACAGACTGATACACACGATCCTGGATGTCTAGTGCTTGGACTAACATGATACCACAGATGACTGGGAGAACATAGTGATCCAGGTCGACGACCCGAAGTCGAAAACCCCAAAGATCGTTGCCGCGGCTGCGTCCAGCCATGGCGGCTACAGCAAGGCCGCCGGCGGGGCTCCCCCGATGCAAGGCAACGGCCCCAAGGTCGAATACTTCACCTCGTTCCCCACCAACCATGAGTTGCAGTTCACCGATACCGTGGGCAAGACCTACCCCATCTCTGATTGGGACGCGATGCCTCAGCCAGCCCAGAGAGCACTCCAAGACACCAGCTTCGGCAGCGCCAATGTCCCCTTCAAGGACGGCAACTTCGAGTCCAAGGTTCGCGAGGCTCTGGCTTAAGTCCAGTGGCTTGAGTCCAAGTCGTCATGGTGCGCCTCACAAACGTGGATTCATATGGTTTCTCTCTTCGGTCAGCCATAGATTGGCAGCAATCTTGTTTATGTATTCTAGCTGTTTCCTTTCCTCTTAGCAAATTCTAGCAGACCTACTTTGATCAGCTCTAGTTCTAACTCTGAATCAAGTATTTGTGAATACAAGCATGTATAGCTTTCAGCATAAGCTTACATGCAGCTACTGTAATTGTAGATGTCAAGGATAATGCCCATCTTACAACCTCTATCATAGCATCCATTATAGCGACTATTGTAATGGGGCCTACATGTGCCCTATAAAGGTTTAGATCGGGATAATAGTTGTGCACTATGTAATAGTTAGTAGTCTACATAGTAGATAAATAAACTCTAGTATGAAAGTTATAGTGTTTTAGACAGGCGGTCTAAGGGACGGACTTGATAGTCTCATTATAGCAGTCCTTTATTAGGCTTAGTTAGTAGGAGGGCATTCACTTATATGTGGTTTCGCTTCTATTCTGTATACGTCCGAGGACATACATGGCGCCTTCATACGGTGGTCCTCATTTTATATGCAACCTAGAAGTGGACTGAGGAACAGAAAGCGTCGTAAACGCCGAAGCTCAGGATCATATATTCAATGATAGATGCCTGGTAGATGAATTCCGGGTATGTCTTCTCATGCCCGCCACTTACATTTACATACCCTAGTGTAGCCATTTATATTACCGTCTTGCGCAGCCAGAAATCAGGCTTCTGTTATCCAGCCGGTTCTGGTCTACTCATATTTCGTTAAATCCATGCACCGGCTTTGATGACACCTGGACGCGCTCCTGAGGAGTCGACGTGTCGGATTCCCCAGGTCTATAGACCAGGCGGCATCGGTTCTTTCCAAGCGCTGGGTCTTGAGTGCTTACCACCGTATGAAGGCACCATGTATGTCCTCGGACGTATACGGAATAGAAGCGAAACCACACAGAAACCACACAGAAACCACATACAGGATTTCTCTGCCTCATGATGCCTGCACACATGACCGTAAGGTGCATTCTGCCATGAATGTCATGGTTGTTGACATTGAAGTCGCAAGAAATGTGCTTAAAGCTTTGCTGTGCTTTGGAATCCCGTATTTTGACAACTGTTAATTAGTATTGTATGTTTCTCCAACACTGGGTCTTTGAGCATTTGACACTATATGAAGGTGCTGTGTTTGGCTCCAGACATGTTCTAAATAGAATGGAAACTGGCTGTTACATGAGTGACTGATTTATTTTCAGGCTTGATGATTTTGGTCTTATGGAGTCAGTCGTCAGGGAACCTCAAGTTATCTAAGTAGCCTTTGCCTTAGAACCCGGATTTACAGAAGCCAAGATTTGCTGACTAGAGGATTTTTTTTCAGCCATCCATCCGTACTTAGGTATTGTCATCAAATGGATTTGCTCTCACCCCTGTGCTTATTTAGAGCGCAACTTGTGTATAGTGGCTGGGCAGAGTACATGTTTACATGGACCGGAAAGTACACTACTCGTGATGGCTCTTTGGACACCCAGATGCCCATGGAGTCAGGCGTTGCTCACTCTCCAATAACATAGGTACAGCCCTCCGCTCCCACCCAGACCTCATGTACCTTGTCCGCATCGACGTCCCACCGCTCGCCCACACCAAGTGTCTGCCGGATAGGGTTCTCATCCTTGGGATAGGTGATGGTCAACTGACCCTTGAGGATGAGGTGTGTTGTCACGCCTGCATGAGAGTGCGGTGGGTAGTGGGCATTGGGGCGGTCGGACCATGTAAAGACGTGCTCAAAGCCCCACGATCGGACCTCATTCTCGTGGTCACACTGTGTCTTCTTGTCGGCCATGTTGGGTGAGCAGGAGTTGGGCATGGGTGTCAAGGCTGTGTGAATTCGGTGCCAAGGGCGAGGATGAGGGAGAGGACAAAGGCCCTTGCAGGTGATAGCGCGCAGTGGCTGAAGCTGTCAAAGTCTGGTAGTGCAGAGGGCGCGGGCAAGTCAGCAAGTCTGGTGTGGTGGCACCGTGGATTTGCTGCTGGGCGAGGTGGTGTTGGAGCCAATGACGCTCACTGGCTGCCAGCGGGTCTGCCGGCGTACCTGTTGGCCGGCCAGGGCTGCCAGGGATGCTGGGATGCAAGCTCTGGTGCTCGAAAGCAGCTGCAGCTGCGCCCCCAACTATCATCTCCAGCCATCCCACATCATCTTGTTCCGTGTTTGTGGCCGTCATCTCATTCCAAGCAGCCTCGCCCCCCGCAGCGACAATGCATGACCTCAACAAACAGACTGACAGAGTGACAGCCCCGAAAATAGGATGGCCAGGAGCGCAACCTGAACAGGTGCCGATCGCTCGCTCTCTCCCCACAAATGCCAAACCGGGCTCCCTGGCCTAGGATTCAGGGGCAGCCTTCGCCTTTGGTCGCCAGGCTTGGCCTCTCCAGTGCCCCAAAGTCAAACCACATGGCCCGTGTGCCTATGAGCTCGTCACCTCTGGAGCTCAGAAGGTTTGTCGACTTCTTCAGCTGATGCACTGCACGCAAGCAGCATGCAGGTCATGTTGTGGTGCTGTGGCGCCCGTCCTGCCGTCCTGCCGTTTACACAGTAGGGTCCAAGTGACAGCCGCCCCCACAGACCGGGACGGTTTGATCAGCCCTGCGGCAAGACCGTCCCATCTACCAATCTGCCCATCCGGGAACCCGGACCTAATAATATAATAAAAGGGTACTACTCTATACTTACTAAAGGTAATAGTAAAATAATACTACTTTTATATTAAGTTAATTTATTAATATTAAATTTAATATTCTTTTAAATAAAAATAAATTATTTTTATAAATTATTTTTATTTATTTTCTTATTTATTTTTTTATTTATTTTTTTTATTTTTTTATTTATTTTCTTATTTTATTTTTATATTTATTTTCTTTCTTTATTTTCTTCTTTATTTTTTCTTCATTTTTTTCTTTATTTTTTTTATTTTTTTCTTTATTTTTTCTTTATTTTTTTTTATTTTTTCTTTATTTTTTCTTTATTTTTTTTTATTTTTTTATTTTCTTATAGTTTAAAATAAAAAAATAAATATATAATTTAAATTAAAATTTCTAAATAGTAATTACTTTAACTAATAATATATTAAGTATTTAAGTAGCTAATATGTATAAGGTGGTAGGTATGTGTTGGGAAGCCGGGCTGTAGTATCCACATTGCCACAGGGAACTGCCCTTCTCACGCTCCGCGAAAGCTGTCTCAGGTATTGACCCCGTCCAAGCAGATGGATTCCGCCTCGGGACTTTCCTGGCAGACTACTCAGGAGATCCAATCGCGGGCACAACATTGGGATCCCCTGGCTATTTGTTCCGCAACTCTATTTGCTGAGCGAGCAGAGAGCATGACAGACACACACATGCTTTATAGACAAACAGGCTAACACGATGGCAGGCTGCTGGCAGGCTGGCATGGGGGAGGGCGCCCACTGCTGGCGCGGGCAAGTCTCTGGCATCAGCATTGGCTGCACTACCTACCTACTTACCTAGGTAAGTACCTACCTAGGTACCTAGGCACCCAGGTAGGCATGTGCCGTGACGCGTTTTGTGTTGTGTTCCTGAGTACTTACTTAAGTACCTAGGTACCTAGGTAGGTAGGCACTTAAGTACCCAGGTACGGAGTACCAACGGCCAAGTTGCAGGAGGGCGCCACTCACTGCCTCAGCTGAGGCATCCTCTCGAACTGGTCTCCCTATTCCTTGGCTGAGGAATCCGGGGACGTGAACAATGCTTACCTCTCTCTACCGACCCTCCATATTTCTGACAAACCGTCTGTGCCTTTATACATTTCTTTCGTTCTTCAACCTTCCTCCATATTATGTTATGACTGCTCTCGGTCAACCTTGTGGGGACTTTTTATACGGTGACGCCACGCACGACAACAACCTGCCATGTCCAACGCGGCCAAGTTCCCCAGCCTGGCACCCAAGTAGGAGCGAGACCCGCCTAACCAACACGGGGTTGCAGCTGCCAGCTGCAGCCTGGTCCCCATAAATTCTGCACGCCTCGCAGATCTGGCATATCTCGCAGCCCCCGGTCTTTCCGCCCGTCCCCTGAACAGGCAAGGCCGGATAGACGCCATCGCAAATACGGACCACCCATCATATCATTTTGCCCATGGGTTGCCTCGTAAGTTCTCCGGCCTACAGCAGAGGCAGAAGAAGAAAACAAACAAGAGCAAAGAGCTCCCTCGCCCCCCTGTGTGGAGAGGTCCTGTGCATACCTTACTTTTCGCGCGCACCGTCGACAGCAATAATCATCCCGTAAATCCCGTCCTGCCAGTCCAATTTGCCCTTACCCGAGTCAACCCCTTACGATAGTCGTGTGTCTGCGACGAGAGGAAGAAGGAAAGGAAAAAAAAAACAGAGAGAGAGAGAGAGCTGGACTAACAGCACCTGCCCTTTTCCCCACGAGCAGGGAGCCCGAAAGCGCGCTCAAACCCACCCGGCGATGTGGCCGTATAGGGGGGCCAGAGCTACCGCTAGAATTGAAGACGGAACCGCGGCAAGAATAGGAGGGCCGACGCCGAGCCCAAGGTTCGGTGCGCACACGGCATGGAAGCATTTTTTCCAGATGGTTGCGCTGGGCGGCGGGCCCAACCCTCATCAGCAACAAATCCGCGGCCAACACCAACATAGCAAGTCGGAGCAGCTCAAGACGGACTTTGACTACGAGACGACCACGGCCACCTTTAGCGACGACTTAAGCGAGGCGACCTCTCCGATCGACACCCTACGAGCCGCCCCCTTCTCGCTCAATTACCACCCGGACCTTCCCCTGCTCAAAGAATCGACGCATAGGCATATCGAGCGGATATTCACCTCCCTTCGAGGCCGCGAAGGAGACTACATAACCCGGGAAAGGCTGGAGGAGTTCCTTTCTGAGTCGCAGGGTGGCCTCGTCCGGCCCCTTGACAAGGAGAAATACAGCCTGGGCGACTTCGTATACGTATGGCTGCATGACTATAGCGTCGCCCTTAAGCCAGCCGTGAAGAAGGACCTTTCGAAGCCCATTACGAATTACTTCATCAGCAGCAGCCACAACACATATATCGGACTGGGCAACCAACTCAGCGGCGAGGTCTCTGCGGATGCGTACCGGACCGTTCTGGAGGGTGACTGCCGGTGCGTGGAAATCGATGTCTGGAACGGTGAGGGATACACAGAGAGGCCTAGGACGCCGACCCCCAGCAGGTCGAAATCACCGAGGCGCGATGTGCACAAGCACAAGAGAAACGCTTCCACGCTTTCAACGAGCTCCATCCACTCGCTCCCGGCGGCAGCTCAGTCATTCGCAGACAAGATCGACCAGAAGTGGCACGAGCTCTCATCGAGGAGGCATGACCGTAAGGAAAGCTCCAAAGTGAGCCTCGCCAGCGCCAGCCTGAGTTCACTGCACCTGGCGCTACCTGCAGCGAGCCACAGCTCGACATCTCTCGACCCGAACGACCTGCTAGACCCCAACGACCTTGGCCCACCGCTGCGCCACGTGCGCTCAGCCGAGGGCCTGAGGCTGAAGGCTCAAGAGTCCTCCAGGTCCCGGTCGAGGTCCCGGTCGAGGGAGCCGCGTGGTCGCAAGATAGAACCAGAGGTGACGCACGCGCATACCGTCCAGGGGCTGGGCGATGTCGGCCTCGCAAAGCGGATCCCCTTGCGCGAGGTCTGCCGGGTGATCAAGGAGTCAGCGTTCAAGACAAACAAACTGCCCCTCGTGATCAGCCTGGAGGTTCACGCCACGGGCGAGCAGCAGGACATGATAGTCGACATAATGAAAGAAGAGTGGGGCGACCATCTTCTGGCTGAGCCGCTTGAAGGGTGTGACCCAAATGCGCGGCAGCCGAGGCTCGAGGAGCTCATTGAGAAGATCCTCGTGAAGGTCAAGAAAGCAGCCCCAAAGGGCTACACAATGCAGAAAGGGAGCAGTCAGCTCACAGTGCCCACGAGCACGTTTCACGAGGAGGATGGCTCAGCATCCGAAGATGAGAGACTCTCAGTGGCGGGAGAAATCAGGACAGAGACCGGTGAGCTCGCCCAGGTCGTGAAGGCGTCCAAATCGCTCATCCGCGAGACGCTCGGAAAGCTGGCCATCTACACACACAGCGAACACTACAAGGACTTCTCCGCGCCGGCGGCCAAGTCGCTCTCACACATATTTTCCATCGACGAGTACAAAATCCTGAAGCTTCACCAGAGCAAGCACCGCGAGATGTTCATACACAACCGGGACTACTTCATGCGCGCGTATCCGCACTCGACCCGCGTCAGCTCGACCAACCTTGACCCCTCGATCTACTGGCGCAAGGGGATCCAGATGGTGGCCTTGAACTGGCAGCGGGCGCATGTCGACGAGGCGATCATGCTCAACAGCGCCATGTTCGAGTCCGAGCAGGGCTGGGTGCTCAAGCCCCAGGGTTATCTGAGCGGCGACGAGACGACGTCGCAGGCCGAGGCCGGGAAACGGCGGGCGCTGATGCTCAGCATCAAAATCCTCGCAGGGCAGCTCCTGCCACTACCCGGGGAGCCGGGCGACACCGACAGCAATGCCAGCACTGTGTCGAGCGTCAGCACGTCTGACAGCACCGCCTTCCAGCCACTGGTCAAGTGCGAGCTGCACGTCGAAACGCCCGAGGAGCTCACCGAGAAAAAGGCCATCAAGAGCGGCTACGTCCAGGATGGCCAGTACAAGTTGCAGACCAAGAGCAGAGAGACAGAGAACCCCGACTGGGGCATGGGCCAAGAGCTCAAGTTCCCGCGGATAGACGAGGTCGTGGAAGAACTCAGCTTCGTAAGGTGAGTTATCACTCAGGACGGCCTGCACTTCGCAATACCTTGCAAGGAAGCAGCGCAGCCCCTTTTACCCCTGCAGTCTTTTGCATGTTTCCGCCATTCCGGCTCTTGTCACCTGTCACTTTTTTTTTCTGGGTCTACCGGGACTTTCCTTACCCACACACACCACGGGTAACGTACCCTTGTCAAATCAGGATGCTCCCTTGGACATAGCCATACAAGTCCTCGCCGGGCCCTTGCCGGGGAAAGCACCCTGGGGCAGCCTTCAGTGGCGCCACCGATACGCGAATTGCCAGTCTGGCTTCTAGCGTGGGCTGCTCTGGCAACTTCGATCCTTGCGTACAAGAAGAGCTGCGAGAAACAGGCGCCTGGGCGGGCCACTGCTGTCAGATTTGGGGTGCTCACCGGTGTGGAGAACGGGGGCCCATGGTGCGGCTCGCCTTGTTGCCCACGCACTCAGGATGTGGTGGAACGTCCCTGGGCCACTGCTCCACAAGCGCTGCATGTGTGGCTTGTGCTTGTCAATCATACTGCCCGCCTCATCGTCACTTTCATCAGCAGTTGTCCGAGACGAGATCGTGGCACCGTCTGCCCAGCTCGGCCGCTAGTCTCGACGCGTGTTGGTGTAGCTGTGGTGCCCCGATTAGTGCAGCCAAGTGGCACAGATTCCTTCTGCAAATCAACAACCACCACCGGCGTTCTATGTGTGTGAGATATGTCATATGCTGATGCTTCTCCAAATCACTAGGTTTAAGATCGAGGACGAGGGCCTTGTTAAAGACAGGTTAGCCGCATGGGCCTGCATCAGACTTGATCGATTGCAACCAGGGTATCGATTCATTGACTTGAAGGATGCACATGGCAGGCCCAGTGCTGGGAAACTGTTAGTGAACATCGACAAGAAGTTCCGAGGAGCCTGAGGCTGAAGGCGAATACGCCTGGCCTTTATAATCGCTACCGGCGTGTAACGGTCGCTGTCAGACCTCGTCATTTCTCCACCCACCACCTATTCTAGCAGTGGGCATTGGGCAGTGGGCTAGGAGAAGGTGACCGTGTTTTATCTGGCGGCGTTATTCTAGCTTGGAACCAAAGTTTTACTTTTTGTTTGATCCCAGGAGCCTTTGGCTACGGCTGTGGCCCTGCTGAGTGGTTCTTTTGGGGGGTTCAAGGAGGCACTGGAGCCAGGAAGTCCTTCGCAATGTTACGGCGCTGCTTTGCTATAGAAGCTGACTCCGCAGTAGGGAGAAGATCGGCTGCTCTTCACGTGGGGCGTAGTTATTACCACAACGATACCCAAATATCAGCACAAATGCTGCTAACCTCCACTTATCTCTCCATCCTGTGATCTCGAGCTCTGTGCCGCTAAGGAATGTAGGTATGTAGGTATGTAGGTATGTAGGTATGTAGGTATGTAGGTATGTAGGTATGTAGGTATGTAGGTATGTAGGTATGTAGGTATGTAGGTATGTAGGTATGTAGGTAGGTAGGAAGGTAGGAAGGAAAATAGGAAGGTAGGTAGGTAGGAAGGAAAATAGGAAGGTAGGTAGGTAGGTAGGAAGGTAGGAAGGTAGGTGGGTAGGAAGGTAGGAATGTAGGAAGGTAGGTAGGTGGGTAGGAAGGTAGGAAGGTAGGAAGGTAGGAAGGAAAATAGGAAGGTAGGTAGGTAGGAAGGTAGGTAGGTGGGTAGGAAGGTAGGAAGGTAGGAAGGTAGGAAGGTAGGAAGGTAGGAAGGAAAATAGGAAGGTAGGTAGGTAGGAAGGTAGGTAGGTGGGTAGGAAGGTAGGAAGGTAGGAAGGTAGGAAGGTAGGTAGGTAGGTAGGTAGGTAGGTAGATAGGTAGGTAGGTAGGAAGGTAGGTATATAGGTAGGTATATAGGAAGGTAGGTAGGTAAGTAGATAGATAGATAGGTAGGTAAGTAGGAAGGTAAGAAGGTAAGTATATAAATAAGTATATAAAAAAGTAAGTAAGTAAGTAAGTTATTATATAAATAAAATAAATAACTAACTTATAATTATTAATATTTAATTAATAACTTTTTAAAAAATATTTTATTTTATAATAACTTTTAATTTTAATTAATATTTTTAATAAATTAATTTATAATTAATTATTTATTTATTAAATTATTTATTTATTTATATTTATTTATATTTATTTATATTTATTTATATTTATTTATATTTATTTATATTTATTTATATTTATTTATATTTATTTTTATTTATTTTTCTTTTTTTTCTCTTTTTTTCTTCTTTTTTCTTCTTTTCTTCTTTTCTTCTTTTTTTCCTTTTTTCCTTTTTTCCTTTTTTCTTTTTTACCTTTTTACCTTTTTTTCTTTCTCTTTTTTTCTCTTTTTTTTTCTTTCTTACTCTTTTTTTTCTTTCTTTTTATTTTATTTTTTTAATTAATTAATAAAATTAAATTTAAAAATAATTATATTATATATTAAAATTTATATAATATATAATTAATATAAAATATTATTTAAAGTAAAAATTCTTACTTAAATAAGAAAATTTTAATTCTTAAAGCTAGACTATACTTACTATTTTATCCTAAGTTTATAGTGGTAGAAAAGTATGGAGTAATATCCTAAGTTTATAGTGGTAGAAAAGTATGGAGTAATTGGGTGTTGCTCTTGCGACCCTTGGACACCTGAGATCCCGTCTCCAAGCTACCTGGCAGGGTGGGCCATCATCAAAAGAGCAGAGAAATGGCCAGGCCAATCATGCCGTGTGTTGGCGGGCGTCTGTACTACAGTTTCCCATCGCATTTGCCTCCAAAGGGTCGCCGATTAGCGAGATCGGATCAACGTCGAGCTCAAGGGTTTTTGTTGAGATACGACCCACTGACAACGAGATCCGTGGGTTTCTTGCATATACCCTCGCATTTGAACCGCAGCGCCGGAACAAATGAGCATGCTCCTCGGTGATGGGAACGGCTCGGAAGCCTGCACCTAATAACAGGCTGGCTGCACTCACACCGCCAGATGCAGCTCCACCGGATAGCTTTAGAGAGAAAGAGGAGGCCAGCTCAACTCTGGGGTTCCTCACCGCGGTTTGCTTTCGCTGACGGAACCACCCATATCGGCGATTGAGCCTCAACTTTTCCCATGCACCAATGGAATCACGCCGACGCGAACTGGACTTGAACGCGGAGCCGTTGGAGGCATCTAGCCGTTGTCAAACACCTGCCAGAACTGCAGATATGCACTGTTCAATGAGACAATGGCTTGTCATCCGGTCGCGCATGTCTCACCCGAACCCGCCTCCAGCGTCTACGACGGGACAGCCCGTCGAATGATGTCTTTCCCAACAAAGAGATAATCCCGCTCAGGCTAGGATGCGGACGTTGATCATGCCCCGGGTTGTTCTTCGAGGGCATTTCATGACCGCGTAGCAACTGAAAACTCTACCTGTCTACGTCACCGCCGCCTTCCACCGCTCGAGATCATGCAACTATGTTCCACAGGAACAAGCTGGCATTCCTACCGCGTGAGCTTTGCCAGTTCCGAGTGGACAGGCGGGGGGGCTCGTCATGCGACTTGTGAATAACCGGCCGTGGCTATCGTGAAATGTGGAGTGCGCGACTGCACGATCTGCTCTACAATGGGCCGTATCGCGCCTCTTTTTATCTGCTCTCACATGCGTGGTGGAAGGGGGTCTGTTAACAGTTCTGTTTTCTGATCCGATGCAAAAGCAATCTTGGTGCCGATTGCCCTTCACAGCCGAGGACTTCCTGACGGTGGCATCTTGCAATCAGAGGCATGGAGCTGACGCTGGCCCGTTAACCAGGATTATCGGCCTCACGTGCGATTGAACGTGTTCACCGCACTGCTTTTGTCTTGCAGGAAGAGCTGGGCGGGAAATCCCCGTGAAACACACCGTTCAGCAATGGTGAGTGCATCTCGTCTCATTATGCGGTAGTATTGTAACCCGCCAACACGTCCGTGGCTTCTTTCCCACTTACCTTGTGTCCTAAACCCTGCAGGAAACCTTGTCTCGTGGGGTCTTTAGTCCCATCGGAAGTTATCCCATCGCAGGTTGACATGTTGGAGGCTGTCCCATAGGACTTTGTCTTATAGAAGGTTGTCTAATAGGAGGTTGTCTTACAGTAACTTGTCTTGTAGAAGGTTTTCCCATGGTCTCATAGGAGGTCGTCCCATAGGTTGTTATGCCGTAAGAGAGTGTGCCATACCTAGGTAGGAGGCCATCCTGTAGGGGGTTGTCCCATATGAGGTTAAACCCTATGAGGTTGTCTCATGGCGAATTGTCTCACGGGGGCTTGTCTCGTCGTCCCAAGGAGATGTTTCCACAGAAGGTTGCCCATATGTGCGGTAAGGACTGCCCGGGCGGTCTACCAGTGAACACCCAAGCAAAGCTCGTGATCACTATGAGCAAGGCGTGGGGAGGAACACGGTGGATCAGGATCCCCAGATGGTGGCGTCCCAGAATACCTCGGACACGGCGAATAGTGGCAGGCCGCCGACTACCCTGCGCCATGTGGAACAATCCAGATTAAGATGAGATGTTTGGTGTCCTGTTTGGCGCAGGAGGTCGCCGTCAGTCAGAGGGAGTGAGTCCTGCTGTTTCGAGTCATTGTCATTGTGCCTGATTTCTGCGTGCCCGAATCGACCCATAGCTTCAAGCCCTGAAGTGAGATGTCACAAATGTGACAGGTCGGTGTCTGGTCTTTCGCAAGCACCTCCAATATCCGGCGACTCAAATTGATGTCGGCTTGTCGCGTCACCTGCGGATGTCCCGCAGTGGGCCCCGGCACGACCCACCTGGCTGATCTGTGCGTGGGAGAAGATCTAGTGATTCCGTGCAGGTGCGTGTCCAAATGATGAACAGACGTTGCATTCATAGCTCAGACCAGACTGCAGGTGCTATTTATGCAGACCCTCGGTACGCATTGAGCACTTGGTGATGGGGATCGGGAGTGAGTGAGCCACCAAATTCCGAACGCTGTTCTTCTAATAAGTGTAGGGTTCGTAGCACAACAGGTGCGGCTCTGCTTGCGTACTTGGGTAGGAATGGGCTTTTGACCCAGCGGTCTTCGCCACGTACATTCAATGCGTGCTTGGAAGGTTAAGTGAGTAGGTACCTGGGTATGTAGTTCTTCTGGATGTCATGGGGCTGGCCTCAGACAGGGTTGGAACCCATAATTACTTTGTAAGTCGCGAGCCCACCCACGCCTCGTCTTTCTCAGCGAGAAAATGGAGGAACGAGACGCAGATCTCCAAGTGGTGTATTCCTGCACAGTCGGTCTGGCCGCAAAAAGCAAACTGAGACCATCAAATGCCAAGAAGATGTAGCTGCGTTGCTCACCGCGACAATGGCTTCCTCTGCTGCAAATGGCCCGGACCGGTTGGATTTCCGGAGGAGGTAAGGCAAGGCACAAGAGACGTTTGCATGGCATGGACTCGCAAAGCATGGCTGGTCAGGTAGCTGGCGGGGATGGAGGTCAAGAATAACAGCTCGCCACAGCCTCTCTACAGCAGTCTTGCCCTACGGAGTGTGCTGCAAATACCACAGTCCATGAGACCCCCAATGGTCAAGACCCAGCTCAAGTGCTGCTGAGCCATGAGGTAGGGTGGTATCAGCTGTGGGGAAATCGCAGATTGACGAGGCAGATCCTGGTGCTCGGAATCAGATCATCTCGAGATCAACTGTCAGTCAGGGCGTCGCTGACGGGACAGCCGGGCGGTCGGGACAGCCTCGCTGGTAGTGATCGAGTCAAGGACTCAAGGCTCCAGACTCAGGGAGCAACTGGTACGGGGCAGCGCCGGCTAGTGTATTGATAGTGCTGTGGATGGGGGGGGGGGGGCTGCCGAGACCGCCAGAGCGAACCGAGGTACGACCGGGGAACAAGATGCGACCGTGAATGAGGCTGTCTGCCCGACAGATGAAGACGTGCTGGACACGGGTGTCATGTTGCCCACGACCGCCAAGAGGTGCCCAAGGTCTGGCAGGGAGTCGTCATTTGACCAGGGAGACAGCCCAGGCGGCGGTCGTACTGTGCGGAAGGCAAATGGCTCTCCAGCAGGCGCCAGATGACCAGGTGACAAGCAAGCAGACAGCCGTGCTCGGGTGGATATGTGGAATATTGCTGCCAAATGCGATAGGCAGCACTCATTGCGGATGGCAAAACCAAGATGCTGGGTCGGGAATCGGGAGCGCGCATCAGTGCTGCAAGGGCCGGGGGGGCCAGCAGGTGATGGAGAGATTTGTGAGGGCCCTCTGCGCGGTGGAGAAGAGCTGAGAAAGGAGATGACAAGCGAAAGTCTATTGCTCCATGAAGGCATGCTGTCCAGGAGCAAAGA